GACTCAAGGACTACGTAGTGACGAATGTGACGAAGCAGAACGTCGAGGATGTGCAGATCCCCATTAGTCACAAGCATGCGGCAAGGTCAAAGAAGTGGAAGGAGTGAAAAGCAGCGATGCAAGTCGAGATGGACTCACAGCAGCAGCACGAAACTTGGGTGCTCGTGCGACGCACGGAGGCCAAGGGCAAGCGTGTTATTTCGTGCAAGTAGGTGTACGCGCTCAAGAGAGACTCTACGGGCCGGATTAAGCGATATAAAGCTCGACTGGTGATCAGAGGCTTTCTACAACGCATGGGCATCGACTACAGTGAAAAATACGCACCTGTTATCAGATTTGAGACGATCAGATGCGTGATCGTATACGCACTGCAACGCGGATGGGCCATCTTGCAGCTCGACGTCAAGACCGCGCTCTTGTACGGTGATCTCGACGAGGAGGTCTACATGGATCAGCCTCCAGGCTTCGGAGAAGACTCTACGCGCTACGTATGCAAGCTACAGAAGAGTTTGTATGGGCTAAAGCAAGCGCCTCGCGTTTGGAACAAGACATTGCACAAGTTCCTGACGAAGATCGGACTCGAGCGCCTCGACTCTGACTACGGACTCTACGCCAGGAAAGTGGGAGGAGAAGTCACCATGTTGCTCACGGTGTACGTCGACGACCTACTGCTCCTCGGCCCTAGTGACCTTTTCGCTAAGGTTGCTAAGCAACTCAGTGAGGAGTATGAACTCACATCTCTCGGACCAGTCAAGTATCTACTAGGCGTGGAGATACTAATCGACAGCGAGCGTCGACATGCGGTATTTTGCCAGCGGCAACATATTACGCTAAAGCGATTTCACATGGAGGGTTGCAACGCGGTTGCAACACCGGGAGCGCTGCGCGCTGAGGTGGTCACAGATGCGAAAGATGACTCCCCGCCCCCGTACCGAGAGCTCGTTGGTGCACTACAATATCTGGTCTCACCCTCAAGGCCGGACATTGTGCACGCTGTGCGTAATCTCAGCAAGTACCTGTCCTGCTTCGACCACACACACTACGCTATGGGAAAGAGGGTGCTACGCTACCTGAGTGGTACTCAAGACCACGGCTTAGTGATGGACATTGTTATTGGGAACGACGTCAAGCTGACGTGTTACACCGATGCTGACTACGCTAATGACCCTGATGACCGAAAGAGTGTTAGCGGGTTCGTGACGCTCGTCAATGGTAACGTGGTTTCGTACGGATCAAGAAAGCAAGAGATTAACGCACAAAGCACAACGGAAGCAGAGTATATTGCCATGAATGAAGGCACTAGAGATCTACAGTGGCTACGTGGACTCTGTGAAGAACTATGCTGGGAGTTCGCGACTCCGGAGATTATCGGCGATAACAAGTCGTGCATCTATCTGACTGCCAAGCCTGGCAAGCACAGCAAGAACAAGCACATTATGAACAAGTTCCACTTGGTGCGTCACCTCGTGGAGGACGAGCAGCTACGGATTTGCCATGTTGGCAACGACGACATGATCGCCGACGCGATGACGAAGCCATTGCCGAAGAACAAGTTCGAACATTGCCGTGATGGGATGAAGGTGCTGCGCATCGACCGTCAGCAAGGCTCAGCTCGTTCAGTGGGAGCCAAACATCATCGCCATGCGTGAATGCAAGCTACTACTACCAGTTTATGCATGCGAAGGACAAGAAGGAGGAAGAGCGCTACCAAGGACGAAGCGTCGTGCTGCAGCGCAGCTAGAAGATGCCAAGGACATCGTGGTGAGCTCTACAAGGTGATCATGTTGAAGCTGCGCTTCGACTAGATCAAGTGGGAGTGTGAAGTGTGGAGGAAGAGCCAGGACTGCGTTAGCTCAAACCTGAGGCTCAGGTGCCTCCAGGACGCGATGCTCGCGTCCAGAAGCCGGACTTCGACGGACCATTGGCTGGCGAGCCGCCAGCCCCATCCTACTGCTAATCCTACCAATATATGTTACCGGGGGGTTTCCGTGTGCTGCTACACACTCGACAACTTGCGCCGTCAAGAGCAAGCAGCAGCACTCGGTTTTCTCCCCTGCTGGACTTTCAGTCCCTGCAACTTACTGTTGTTACGACTACTTCCTTCATCACAATGGTCACCACTCGGCGTAGCCGAGGAGCGACCATCACTCACTGGTAGAAGTGTCTACGACTTTTTACTGATCGTCATGAGCCCAGTCGTGGTGCTATGGACTGTGGTGTCTCTTGCGGCTGTGCTGGCCCTAGGATCTGGTGTGGACTTAAAAGTCACCGCGGTTTACAACAGTAAAGACGCGTGCAGCGACAGCTCAACTCCAGTACAAGTAACTGAGTACCACAGCGTTCTTGGCCGACGGGCAGTGTCATTGGACAGGTACAAAGCAGAGCTACTCTGCCATAAGGGCTGTGGACGGTTCAGCTGCGATCCTAGAGTATGCGACTACGCCGAATTGTTCTGATTCGCCGAACACGCTGGATGTGACAGCAGCGGAGATCCAGGGCCAATCATGTGTGGCTGGTGCCATTAATGCGATGATATACGGCGCCGGGGCGACTCCGGTGTACTTGATGTCAACCTCTACTTTCGACACCTCTACGGATGACTGCTCATTTCCAGTGGTCCCGATAGTCGAGGTGATGTCTGTAGTGAATTCGACAACATGTACGCCGACCACCGGTTGCTCCTACCAAAATAGACTGTACAGCAGAACAAGCTGCAGGAGCTTCACGACTTATCATGCAGATGTGGCGGCGGAGTTCGGCTCGAATGCATACATTGTTGTTGATTCATACGTCCCTGGAACGAACTGCGACGGCACCAAGTTGTCCTGCATCACGGCGGACGGTCTGTGCCACAACGTATACGTTGCTCCAGCATCAAGCTATAAGGCCATTAGATATGCAAATGGCTCAACCACGATCCTGACGTTTTTGTTTGAGGATTGCTATGGCTCGCACGACACGGTGGATGTGACCGTAGCGCAGGCAGAGAGTCTACTGTGCATAGCTGATTTCAATGCAAACGACGCGAGAATATGTGGGAATGGAACAGCTGTAGGCTATGAAGCGAGCTGCTCCAAAGACATGAACATTACGACATGCTATGATGTCTACGAACAATGGGGCTACAGCAGCTTCTGCAACCATTCAAATGGTGAGCTCAGCTACCACTGTTATGATCTGAACTGCAATGGCACGTTCACGGATTTGAGTGATGACTCGGATACGAAAGACGTTTGCGAGTCGCTTTATTGTTCGACTTGCGAGGAAGCTTACACTGCTTTATCTTCGGCTGGATGCACCTGCCTGAACTGCTATAGTTACTCAGGGTATGTCTCCATCCAGTGCTTCCAGCCGTTCAAATGCTCTGCACATATAGATGTTGAAGTATCTGGAATCGAGTATGGCGTTGTGGTATCGGTATACGCGATCGTTATTGCCGCCCTTGTTGCAGACGCCATCGTGATGTCATTCTGCTGTACGTCAAAGCAAAATTTGGATTTGTCCACGAAGGAAATCGCTCGAAAGAGATTATCCGGGATTGGCAGATGCATTTACTGGATATCATTAGAGTCATTTGTACTTGAGATTTGCTCACACTGGGATAGTTACTGCAGCGGCGCAGACATTTACTGTGATGCCGCAAGCTTTGATGTTCTGCAGCAAGCTTTTTTCTCTACAGCTTTGCTTTCGTTGGTCGTATCCAAAGCAAATGCATTTGCGCTAAGTGCATTCCCTACGGAGTCCATGCGGCAGAAACTCCAGCTTGCTTTTACGTTCACATTGGCGATCGGCTTAATGATCTTCGGAATTGAACTGTCAAACCGTTTTAAGAAATCGGAACTTGGGGATGATAGTGAACAAAGCTCTCGTCGTCTAGAAGCTGTGGGATTTACACTGTTGGCAGGCTGGGGAATCGGAGAGCTCGTTGGGCTTGTGTTGGTTGTATTCCGTTTTTGGATTTGTAGTGCATTCTACATCTTATCATTCCGACCCCAGCTTAAAAAAGTGAAGAAATCTGTCGGAGCTGCTGCCATTCATCCTAAAAAGGATGCCAATTCGGATAATGTTGCCATCGAGCTAAGCGATAAATTTGCAACCGTCAGCACTGTCAGCAGTACTGATAGTGCCAGATTCCAAACATGAGGATGTCAACACTGTTAAAATAGCTGAGAGCGCCGACACCATTATGGGTAGAAGTCTCGAAGAAAAACCGAAGCCTGATGGGACAGCCACGATGGACGAAAACGTTGATACAACAACTGAAGCAAATGCGAAACCGGCTGATAATTATGCAATCAGCAAGCCCGATAATTATACAATCGCGATCTCCAGGCGTGCCGACTTAATGCTATCTCGTAGCGACCAGAAGAAGTTGTCAGTCGGAAGCATCAAGTTGGAACCTCCAAAACGAAATTAACATGAATTGCGGTTACCTGTCTAATCAAAAATTTAATTACCGACCGGCACCCATTATTCTGACAGGGACAAAAGTCTGTGCCCATGCATGTAACTTTCTACTGAGTTAAATAGGCCATGCGGCACATCAAAATACGCAACTTGTTAAGCTCTTAACCTTAAGCGTGGTATTTTTTTTGTCCAAGAAACGAGTTGGGTAGGAGCAATGGTCCTACGGTTGAAGAATATCTTCCGGCTGTGATGTGTAGGAACTTCATCGAAACCCCGAGTGCTATTGCGTCTCATTATGGACTACTTGAAGCCGCGTGCCGCCTGCTAACTTACTGTCATCTGAAGTGCTCTCATTCAAACCGTTGTTCCCTAAAAAAAAAGTGGCAATTCTAAAATTCTTGATAACCGAAGGCTTCTACTGTACATGTATAGATTTCTTTAACTAAAATAGAAGGCCACCTTCATCATCATCACAACCGAAGCTTATGCAGCCATGAACAATAAGCGGGTACAAATTGCAAATTGCTCTGGTGTTGTCGGTAAAACCTACTGAAGTATGTTACTGAATGGTGAACGCGAGTGCGGTGTAGCGAATGGCGATGCAACAGGGCGTGACGCATTGGACGTCCGCATTATCAGGCACCGAGCACGCAACTACCAAACTAGGAGCGCGTTTCCACTTTCGAGGTCTCTTCCTTCGCCAAATCGACTTTTCTTTCGACGAACTGAGCTTCATCGTCACCTATTTGGCGAATGAAACAACGATCTGCGAGCAACCATGGTGGCGGGGACTTTCACATGCCGAACGGTAAGTCACCATCGAGACCTCATACCCTGAACTTTCCTGCTGACTTCATTGTGTTGGTTGCAGACTCGAAGCTGCCAGTCGAATGAAAATGCAGCACCTCCATCGTGGAGAAGAACATGTGATATGGTTGACCTCAATGGAAACCCCTCGATCGTGTATCCTCCTGTATGGCAACGCTGAAGCCAGACCACTTAACATCGCTACGACTCCCGTACTGAATTTCACAGAAGGCTCTGTTGTTGGTAATCTCGGGGCTCCACAAAACAAGCAATCCATTTCCTCCGAAACTAGTCACGCTTCATGTTCAGCAAGCACAGCCCCGTCAACAAGTGGAGCATCCGACAACAAATGGAGACGCATCAAGCGCGAGAACTCGCTGCGGAAGGGTATCCACTTGTACAACAAGATCATCATCTCAGGACCGGCAGACTACATCGTGCTGACGGCAAGTGATATCAGAGAGAGTGGGTCGGGTGCAGCGGACCGTCTTCAGTGGGCCAAGCAATTCGGACTGGAGAGGTTTGTCGGGTATCTCCGTCCGACTGTCTTTGAGCCTGGTGCCATTGTTATTCAAGAAGGCCATCTACTCACTTCCTTGTATCTCCTCCTTGAAGGTGAGTGTCGAGCGTCAGTTGAACGAGACGACACTCAAAGTTCCAGTATTACTCAGTCCAACGAAGTCAACTCCAGCAGCTCTAAGCCACCGCTTACCAGTGCTGAGGCCCAGTTAAGACACACACGCAAATTTCGCTGGAGTGACGAGTCTCAACTTCCTGTAGCCTCGCTTGGTCCCAAATCAACGGTGGGCGACATCTCACTGATGCTGGGAATCCCTGAACCGGTCACCGTGAGAGCTGTCACGACTGTAAATGCCCTAACACTCTCCCAAGAAGACTTTGATCGAGAAACTAGCGATCGGCATGACCCGGAGGTGGTCGCTTGTATCGAGAGTGCGTATTGTAGCTGGGTACTGTTGTCTACAGGAGCGTTTACTTGTTCTGTCAATTGTCAGGATTGCAGAGTACGGCGTATGACACGCTGCGCTTCGTGCTTGAACGGGTCGAAACTGAATCCAAGAATGAACACTGCGATCAGCGTCTCAAGATTGATTCACTGCGCGAAACTTTGCGCCAAAAGCAGCCAGGTCGGTATAGTGTTCTTTGTCATACTCTTCGTAGAATCCATTGACAACTCGTTTGTAGTGATAGCAGGAGATAAACACTCGACAGTTGCCGCTTCGAACTCGACCCAACGTCCTCCACTCGAAATCAGGAACTCAAGTGCTGGAGCACAATTGTCCAAAGCCGTATCGCTTCCGTCGGTAGTGTTGAAGCACGCAATATCCAATGTCGACGATACCAGACGACAATACCTTCGCAACCAGTTTGAGACTTCGGTCGCCGCTGTCTCGGGCGAAGACGTCGCTCCTGTCGAGGGTCCGATTCGAATGACTCGACAGCAACGCAAGGCAGCGAGGGCCTTTGCCAACTTACAACACCCGGTTGCAGCCAAAAGTCTCGGAGGCTACGTACAGATGTCGAACAAAGCAAAAGATGACGAGTCTCCAGTCGCCGATATATCCTCACCCATGACAACACAATGTGATGACCTGCTCTTCTTGTTCCCCACGATGACTAAGCGCCGACAGCTTCACGGAAAGTGCGTCTCGTCCTTGAACGAACGTTACTTCTGCGTGACCCACTAACGTTTCTCCATCGTAACAGGGCTTTGCCTTTACTCCCTCGGTATCGGGGATATGATGGTGCTCAAGCAGAACAGGACAATTAAAATACTGCGAGAAAAAGCAACACAACACAAGGGTGTATCTCCTTTTGATTAACTGGGCAGGCATTCATGAATTACCGAACACATGTACCAACTTTGAAGCGCTCTTCACTTGATCTTATCACTCCTTCCTCGTGTAGTCGCTCTCTGTTACTGTTATCGAAGGACCTGATAATGTTAGAGTACCAGTAGAAACAGTAGTAGGCGTAGCGGACGCACTACCAATCGATCGCTCAGAATGTACCTGGCCGAGCGACGATGTCTGTTGCTTGTCAGCACTCCGCGAAGTCTCTCTTCCCTTCTGGTCTTGATCCTGTGGCGTTTCCAGTCTTACTGCTTGCTTTATTTCTTGCACCTTGGCCTGAACAGGAGCAGGAGCTGTTTGATCTCCTCCCGTCATGAGTTCATCTTTCTGTGAAGCGGTGGTAGGCTTGGATGTATCAGTAAATGCCTCCGTTGTTTTAACCTTCTTCGCAGCAGCTGCTCCGTCCCCTGCCGCAGTGGATAGAGACGAGGACGCTTTCAGCACCGCATTTCCTTCCTCGGACGAGTCACGGCCGCGCTTCTTCAGCAGCGTCGCGAACTCCAGAGCCTTCATCGCATTGGCCGAATGTGCGTCATCGGATGAGCCACTATCGCTTTGCTCAACACTACCAGACGACGCGGGCGTCGACTCCTCCTTGATATTCTCATTTTCCTTGGTCTCTTCCATCAAATCATCATCGTCGTCCTGCGAATCGCGTCCAGGCGTGTCGTGCACAGGAGAGCCATACACAGGTGTAGCCGATGGCGTGTCTACTGGCGTAGCACTCGGAGACTCGTCGTCGTCATCATCATCATCGCCATCTTCATCCATAGATCCCAGATACTCAATTGCCAACTCGGGCTCAACAAGCCACTTGCTGGCTTCCGGAGCCTTAACACGAGGAGAAGGCGCCCAAATTTTGAAGGGCTCGGACGCTCCTGACGGAGTAGAACCGCCACGCGCCTCCAGGGGGGTCTTTCGCAGAACGCCAGGCTTGAACTCGATACGGAACGCTCCTTCGCCTTCGAAAATGGCCTTCGTCTTGTTGAGATACGCAGTAGACTTGGCTTCAGCAACTGCCGGGTCCACTAGGGGCTTTGACTCGCCTTGTACTTCAGCAAACGCCTTGGTAAGCTCTTGGCACGTGTCATCGTTCGCCAAGTGCTGCATCTGCTTGAGCACCTGAGTCACCAGCTTATCCATAGTGAACAAAAAGTACGACGTTGATCCCATCAGACTGCGGCACGAATCCTCGTACTTGGAGTTGTCAACAGAGCCATCGATCAGCGAGTACAGCTTAGACACGAAAGCCTGGTAGTCACCAGTTTTCTCCTTGGGCGATGCAGATAAAGAGTGGTGCGCGTGGGCCAAAGCGCGGGCTGCTGGGTTGATAGTGCGGCGGTTGCGGTTGCGCTTCGCCTTCTCACACAAGTCAAATGCGCGCTCGAGGCGGTTGTGCAGAATCTGGTACAGACGCAGAAAGGCGTACGCGTGCTGGTTGCCATAGAAAAGCGACTTGTAGTCTTCTAGCACTTTGGCTGCATCCTGCTTGCTGTCCAGTGCAGGAAGTCCGGGCGGAAAATCTGCTGCCTCTTGGACAGTGAGCGCACTCGGTTGCAAGTACGCTTGGCACCCGATGACAGCCAGGTTGATTGTGAAATAGCCCTTCTCTCGGTTGAACTGCTGCACCGTACCCTCGCCAAACTCCGTGCTCACTTCCGTGCCCACACGAAGAGTCTTTGCCTTTTCAGGCGTCACAGTGGTGTGTTGTGGCTTACGCACCAGCCACTCCTCCTCCAGATGGAAGAACGGGAAGAAGAAAGACTGCCAGACCTTCGAGATCTTCTCCTTATCAGCTCCACCCAAATTCTTCTCAGCTGCGTACGACAACAAGCCGAACGCTTCCTTGTGGATCTGGACCGATGCAAACTTGTAGGCAAAGTGAGGCTTCCACTTCATCGGGTGCGACGACGTAGCCGCTATCTTGCTATCAGCGGTAATGGGAGGCTTCGCTGCATCCAGAGATTGTTCTTTCTTCAGCGCATCAGCAATATCTGACGCCTGAGGGGGAGCCTTGGCACCAACAACAGCGGATGTCGCTGAAACAGTAGACGGCGATGCATTCGAATCCGTCTTGGCTTCTTCAGCGCGCTTCTCGTCCGCCTCCAGTTTCTTCTTGGCCTCTTGCATCATCATCTTCATGCCCGTCTGCTTCTTATCCTTCTGCTTAAAGTAGAAGCTCGAGTGGTCCAGTGACTTGTGATAATTCTTCTCGTTTACCTCCTTCCACTGGCGGTTCAGATCTTCACGAGCACGACGCCACTCTTCATCTTTTTGCTTAAGGCGCTTAAGAATAATAGGAATCGCTCCAGCCGGATACTTCCGCAGCAGTTCAAGGATCTGCGAGCCTGCTTCGCCATAGATGCGCGTGATGGCATTCAAGTGGGTGACACGGAATGTTCCCTTATCCACCACATAGTTCCACAGTTTATCGTCGTCACCGCTGGACTTCTTGAGTACTTCAATCTCCTGCGCCAGCGGCTCAAGGATGCTAATAGTTGAGGCATTAGCTTCGATCACCATGTCGATCTCAAAGCGTTCGTCTTCGCACTTGAACAACGCCTCCTCGTACTGGTTTTTACGCATACTCTTGAAGGAGAAATCTTCACTGCCAGTAGGCACAGACACCCACGAGTCATTGCACACTTCCTTTTCAAGTGCAGAGCGGTGAGAGCATGGCGGGATCGGGTAGCTAGCTGGAAGTCCACGGTACGATGGAGTGGCACGGCGACACTGCGACAAATCCGTCTCAGCTAGTGGGATGAACGGCCAGATCTCCTTCGGGGTCTTCTGGACACCATGTGAGCACAACAGATGGTCGAATTCCTCCACCAAGTCAGTGTGGCGACCGAATAGGTTCCTGATAAGCGACAGCATCTCGTTGCGGTCCAAAACTTCTTGACTGTAAAGCTCCAGGCACTTGAGGAACTCGCGCCAGTTGTCACGAGACGGCAGAATCTTCTTAATCTTCTCAAAAATGCTCCACTCTTCCTTGTCCAGAAGCACGTCCGAGATCGCCAGGTACGCACGACGTTCCTTGCCGTCGTACGGACGTCGCTTGTTGCGCTTGTGATTGAATTGTGCGCGGTTGCGTTCGCGCTCGCGCTCCTTCTCGCGACGTTCCAGAGCTTTTCCACTGAGGCGGTGATCATCATCCTTGTAGCCTCTGCCACCTCCTCTCTTGCCGTATTTCATGTACGCATCTTCATCATCGCCCATCATACGTCCACCCTTCATCGCAGCGCTGGACGGTGAGTCCCCACCACGATCATCGCGTCGATCAGCCTGATAGCCCTGAGATGAGCCATACTTACGCGCCTTCAGTGCCATTTGGTCCTTACGTTGCTGTGCCTTCTCAGCAGCACGGTTCAGACGCTCCTTGGCTTGTTCCTGCACTGCATCAGGCAAGAAGAAGGTGAACTCACGCAACAAGTCCGGGTGGTCACGGAACAGGTGCGAAACTTGGTCCAAAACTTGGCGGATCGAGCGTTGTTCCTTCTGGTACGTGTGTAGAATAGCCAGGAACTCCTTGTACGTCTCTGGCTCATCGGCAAAGCGCTGCTTGATAGTCGTCACGTAGTGGATCGCGTGGTCGAACTCGACGGGGTTTGTCGAGCTCCGAGCCGCAGCGTTGCCGCCACTAGGCACAGGAGTCTGTTGCTGCTGTTTCTTGGGCTTCCCACCAGTCTTCATCTGACCTGCAGGAGCCAATTGTTGCCGTGATGACGTCGTAGCCTTGAGAAGCTCTGGTGGCGAGTAAGGGGGCGGTGGGATCGTCACTGGAGGCGGACGATGACCCATATTGGCGTTCGAGGCTTGCTGAGCTGCCACGCTTGAGTACATCGACTGCTGGACGCCTCCACGACCCGCCATCTGCGAGGGAATCACCTCGATGGACGTGTCAGGGCGGATCCGATATCCTGGCGGTAAGAACGTGTTAAAGCCCAAGATCAGGTTTGGATATCCACGGAAGAGAGTAGAGACACGCAGAATGACCCCGGGAGTGTCGATCGCTTGAGCCTTAAAGTCCTTCATGACGTCCAGGAACTGGTTGTAGATATCCGGCTGGTCTCCGAACTGCTGCTTCACTTGGTCCAGATACAGCAACGCATCTTCCACACGTAGTTCACGATGGCGCGGAGGCGGGCCAGACATTTGTTGTTGCTGGTAGTAGTCCCCCTCTACTTGGTCATTCGGTATGATGCGTCCGTCCAGACCGTAGTGCTGTTGGACCACTTGCTGTTGCTGCTGTGGCTGCTGTTGCTGTTGTTGCTGCTGAGTTTCCTGCGGACGACGAGGAGGCGACTGAGGACGCACGTTGTAGCTCTGTGTAGGCGGCTTGAGTCCGCCCGAGGACGAAGCCATGGACTGCTGAACGTTGCCCATACTCTGGCTCATATTTGGCGTCTGCATGCGGACAGAGTGACCCATCATCCCTCCAGCGCTAGATGGTGGCGGGCCTTGAGAGCCCGCGGGTTTACCGAGTACAGAGGGTGGGCCGCTTCCACTGGACGAGCCCAGGTTGCCGCGCGGTGGGTGCAGGATTGAACCCGAAAGCGGATGCGGTGAGCGCGACGTATTGGGCCCACCACCGCCCAACGATCCTGGAAGGGGCGGGGGAGGCAGTACAGGTCCGTTCGGATGCATGATGGAGTGCTGCTGCTGCTGGGAGCCGCCGTGTAGCGGATGCAAGTGGCTGAGCTGGGCCAGCGACGGCTGCGGATGGTAACTATGCGTCTGTTGCTGCTGCTGACCAGAGGACGCCCCACCTTTTCCGCCCAGACCAGCACTGGACGCCGAATTGAGCGACGGCGGCCCGTGGCGGTCCCCCGACGAGCCCGGATACGACGGATTCATGCGCGCTTAGACGCTACAGCAACGCTCCTTGGCCTTCGAGCAGTTCTTTGGAAATGCCGCTGGGAGCAAGGGCGGGACGACGGAAACACTAGGGCTTCGTATTCCTTACAAACTCAAGTGTGTGTTGTGTGCACACATATATTTCATATTCGTATTTTGGTGAGAAAACGCGGTATGCTCTCTCAAAGTTGAAGTGGTCAGCAGCTAATCATGGAGCGGACCGAGCGCTCGCGACCACGACGAAGTGCCAAGGGAAGGGAGAGGGCTGCAAGTAGACGGAAGAAGAGTGCCGTCACACCAGGTGAGTGTCATCTGCGCGAGAATGGAGCTGCTCTGGGTGATGCTAATGGTACGTGTGACCTCTAGCCAGCTTCAAGTTGCACACGGAGCTGCTGGCCGAGAAGCGCGAACAACAGCGCGAGGAGAAGGAGGTTCTGCATCTGCTCCATGCTCAGCAGAGAATACTTGGCAAGAAGACGGTTGAAGACTTTGCGCAGCTGAAGCTCATTCGACGCGAGTCTGTAGCCACAAGAAGTCGCAGTCTGCATTGCAACGGGAAAACGCTAAACTCGTCGAGGAGTAAGTGGTGATTTCTGGCAGCATTATGATGGTTCTGCAGATAGTTTATTACTTAGTGCTGTGGTTTTTTAGAGAGCAAGGGGCTTGATCCCGTCGGAACCAGTGATGCAGTTCCTGTACGCACAGGTAAGAGAAGGCAAGGGGCTTGTAGTGGCTAGTATAAACCATTCACCGCATTCACTGTTGATAGTCCGCTTAGAGTCGCGTCCTTTGATGTCTGCCCGGCTGTCGAGGCCAGTTCTAGTCTCAGACAGTTTGCCGCGGCGTCCGATGTCCGCCAAGCCCGTGCGACAGTCTCAGTTTCGCTCCAGTGTCGGCCATTCTGCCCGTTTGAGCAGCGAAGATGAAGCAGAGTTGCTGGGCAACACACCGTCCAAGAAATACTCCAAGAAGAAAAGGATAAGAAAGACCATCGATCGAAAGGCGGGACGGCTCATGTTATCCAAATCAACCCCAGTTTTGTCGGACAAGGCCGAGCACAGCGAGAGTATACCCGTCTGTAAGAAGATCAACATTATCGTCAATATGCGCAACTTGCAGTTGATTGAGGAGCCGAATACGCCGAGCGGGTCTTCTCCGCCGGTCATTTCGAGGGAAGCTTGGTGCGATTAGGTGGGCCGAGGTGCTCACTGTGAGCCTCACAATGTGAGTCACATGAACTAAAAGGTGAAACTTCAATGTAAATCGCGAGAACCTCGCCAGACTAAATCAAACTCTCAAAATAAAAATTAAATGTATCCAAAATGGACTAATTTCTTGTATCACAGTCCTCTCCTATCGTATAATCATATTTACCTGTCAAAAATCGTGCAATCGTCTTCAGCAGGTACGTCTTAAGCGCAAAAAAGCGAAGATGTTCACGACTTCGCGTCGACGTCAAACCACTCCAGGATTTGCCAACCATGTCGGGCACATCTTGTGGCCCCGCTCGTCGTATAGCTGTGCTGTCGCGGCAGCTACAGTCCACATCATGCGCCATTTCCACGCGAGATCAAACTGTCGCAGAGCTTGCTGCGGAGCGCGCCAGCTCTAGCTTCTCGCCTCGCGCCATGGCCAACTTCATCTACGGTGGGACAAGGCAGACTGAGCTGCGTGTGGAGGCCATGCAGCTACTGATGAGCTATCCTGAGTTCTACAATGGCGTGGGCACCTTCGACCGGTCGCTGGCGGAGTGTCGAGAGGATACTGTGCAGCGCTTGAGACGCCTGTACTCGCTCTTCATGGAGCACGGAGGTGATGTAGAGAAGCGTGAGACGCTGGCGGACATCGTGGGCATCTTCGACCTACCGCTGTGGACACGGAACGGTGTCCATTTTGGACTCTTTTTGGGCGCCATCATGGGCCAGGGAGACCAGGAGCAACAGGACGAGTGGATGATGCCCACTATGATGTTGGAGCTCTTCGGCTGCTATGGCATGACGGAGCTTGGTCACGGTAGTTTCACGAGGGGATTCGAGACCACCGCGACATTCGACATGAAGACGGACGAGTTTGTGATCCACACGCCCACAGACACGGCAACGAAGTGGTGGATCGGTGGAGCGGGACAGACAGCCACGCATACAGTGTGCTTTGCGAGACTTGTGCTACCAAATACCGGCGCTGACCACGGAGTGCAGAGCTTCATTGTGCCGCTACGTGACGTAGAGACACATCGACCTTTGCCTGGTGTGAGAATTGGTGACATGGGGTCCAAAATGGGCCTGCAAGGAGTGGACAATGGCTGGATTCAGTTCGACCATGTCCGTATTCCAAGAGCAAACATGTTGCGTCGATACGCTCAAGTCTCGCGAGAGGGCGTCTTTACACAGACGCAACATAAGGCGCAGTTGGCGTATGCTGCTTTGCTTGTGAACCGTGGCAAGATCGTGACCTTGAGTGTTGGCATTTTGGAGAAGGCTGTGACAATTGCTGTACGCTATGCTGCCGTGCGACGTCAAGGTTTGCAAGTGAAGTCCGAAGATCCTCACACTGAAACGCGTTTACTTGACTACCAGACGCATCAATATCGTCTGATGCCGGTGCTAGCGCGCGCATACGCGTATCGATTGCAAACCAGACACATCACTCGTCTACTGCAACAATTTGACACGCAAGGAAGCGACATCTCGGAGGCGCTTTTAGCCGATATACACGGCACAATGTCGGGATTCAAGGCTTTTTGTACGTGGGATGTGCAGGAAGGAATCGATGCTTGTCGACAGAGTTGCGGTGGCAATGGATACAGCAAGTACACGGGATTAGCTGAGCTTCTAGCCGACTTCTCTGTTATGGTGACGTTTGAGGGTGATAACACGGTCATGGCGCAACAGACAGCAAACTATCTCTTGCGCTCAGTGGAGAAGTTGCGCTGTGGTGAAAAGCTCTCTGGGTCAGTGCTGTATTTGGAGAGAGAAGACGCTAGTAACTCACGCCGACAATGGGGTGCAGAGGGGTCTGCTGACCTGAACAATGCGACGTTGCTTCGAGATGCTCTGGATGTGTATACCGGTCGCCAAGTGTTGCAGGTTGCAGCAAAGTTGGCTGCTGCTAATGGGAAAACAGAGGCGGAACGCATGAATTCGTGTCAAGTGGACCTTGTGGAGATCGCACGTGTCCACGTGTTCTACAATGTCGCCTCAGCTTTTCTTCAACACATCGAAGAGATCGAGATAGAGGCGTCAGGTGATAACGAGACACTCCTACCTGCACTGGAAGCTCTGTGTCAGGTGTACATTTGCCAGGAGCTTGATCGTGGTGCTGCGTTTTTGCTTAAAGAGAAGTTCATGTCTCCATTCCAAAGCAACCTCGTCCGTGCACGACTGATGGAAAGCTGTGCTCGTGTGCGCGATGACGCCGTGGCTCTCGTTGACGCTTTCATGCTCACAAATACGGTTCTAAACTCGTCAGTGGGCCGTGCAGACGGCAGCATCTACGAAGGAGCACTAGCCGCTGTTCGCCATCGCATGGGCCCAACGCCGTACTTCACTTCGGCGATCAAACCGATTTTCGACGGTGAACTGCTGGACTGATTAATCGGCAACTGGCAACTTCCAAGCTTCTGGGTTAATGTGCTGTTTTTCACGATGACAATGGTACATGCAATTCTTGTGTTTTTACTTCTCGCTTGGTGATCTCATTATCCTTCGAATTTGGTTTAGTCTTTAACAGAAAACTTGATTCCCGTGAGTCTCTCGCTCTCCTCCCAAAGCTGACGAGCTTTGTCTAATGAAATGCTTTGCTTACTCGATGCCACCGTCCGTGGCCAACCGTAGAACTCACTCAACCCATGAGGTCCGATAAACTCACCACCGACAACGTTTGGATCCGTGGCGCAACACAAGATATTTAACGCGCCTTGAGCGTTGCTCTGCGCCCATGGCAGCCAGTGAACAAAACCGATGATTGCCTTAATGATTACGGAGTTGTAAGTGCTTGCGAGGTTCGGCAGCAAGTTGCTCTCGGTGACACCGGGGTGACAAGCCACTGACAGAACTTGCGTAGGCGAAAGGCCACATTTTTCAAGTCGCCGATGCAGCTCATAGGCAAACAACAAATTCGCTAGTTTGGAGGCTCGGTATGCGCTCATCGCGTCGTAGTTCTTGGGCTTCACACTCAGTTGCTTCATGTCCAATGAGCTTCCGTGATGGGAGATGCTACTGATCGACACGACTCGCGCTGGCTGGACGTCAGCAGTTCCTGACGCGTCCATTTTCATCACAGGAAGCAGCAACGCTATTAATACAAGAGCGAAATGTCCCAAGTGGTTCACGCCGAACTGCTGTTCAAAGCCGTCCACTGTTTCGCCGTACTCTACGGCCTTAACGCCAGCGTTCAGCACCAGAATGTCGAGTCGACGCCCTGAGAAGCGCGTCTTGAAGGCCGAAGCGAATTCGCGCACGCTCTGCATCGACCCGATGTCCAGTTGCATGTACTCTGCTTTACCCACTGAATCTTCATCACCTTGGCACTGGTCGTTAATCTTCCTTTCCGCTTCAGCACCACGAGTTTCGTTGCGGCAGGCTAAAATCACATGACCGCCGGCACGAGCAAAGCCAAAAGAGGTGGAGAACCCCAAGCCAGCGTTAGCACCGGTGACAATGATCAAGCGGCCGTGCTGTGAGGGCATCTGGGACTCGTCCCATCGGAGAGATGACGGCGGCATAGCCGACGCAGGGCCGAACGGGCAATGAAGCACTGTAACTTGCATCCCTCAACGAAACGTGAGAGGCAATTCTATGATTGGTTGAAAATCAATACTCCGAAACAATTTAGGGTATTGGTTGAAACAGAGATGATTAGTCAGACCACTTCAGCTCGAGCCCGGCTCACCACGATGTTATGGGCCATCACTTCAAGTGTTGACAAGTGTACATGTACGTCTTGATATACAGCTTCGATGGTTGTCAATTTATTCGCACTACAGCCAGAATGTATCACTGTTGAATGGCTGAACCTACCGATTCCAGTACCAGTTCAGCACAAGAAAGACTTCCTCGTCTTTTGAAGCGCTACCTTCGTTTTCGCACAAAATTTAAATAATATATGGCAAACACCAAGGTACGAAGATAAGCCGAAACAACATCATGATCCTTCATGAAAATTACGTGACTTACAGCTCGAAAACGCAACTTCTTGTCACGCCTCCTGCTGTTACTGTAGTAAAATAAACTAAAAGCTTCTGCGCGATAAGAGACCAACAGAACAAGAAGTGATTCCTCACATACTGGTTTGATCACGAAACAGTGGTGATCGGACATGCGTCGAGCTGTTATCTGAAATAATCAGCTTCGATGCTAAGTTCTCTCGGCAATCTTGCAAGATACTTAAAGGTGTATCGTACCTTTAGATTCGGAGACAAGAAATGAAGTCGGCGCTGTCTCGATGTATTTACAGATCATTTTCTCTCTCTCTCTCTCTCTCTCTCTCTCTCTCTCTCTCGAGCACCGCGCAGTTCTGTGCTGGCGTCGAAGCGCGTTGCTGTGTTTCATGCATCAAGTCTATTGAAAGGAATCATCAAGGGCTGGATCGAAATGGCACTCCTCAAGACTATTAAGGTATAGGTTGACACGCTCGACGTCGACTAACAGAGCCTGTTCATCAATTGAGATGCATTCTTCCCACAGCTTAATTACATGTACAGTAGTACAATCCAAAGCCCACGTGCTTCCTGCTTTTAGTAATACACAGTAGAAGGAAGAGCATGGCAGCCCGCCCGTAAGCAAATGCACTGCTGTGCCAAGCAACAGCTCTCGTTGAGCGTGACAAACACGGGGAAGCAGTCCGAAATTGGGCTTTGGACTCGATGACACAACAGAACCGAACCTTGGACGATCAGAGACCGGTAATTGCCTACGTGCCACCGACAGAAATGTCCACGAACTGGCAACGGAGCAACAAATCAAACACGCGATGATCCCGCAGCTCGACGTGGCTTGTGACTGGCAGTCACAGGTCGCCGAACGTTGCGCGCCCGCGCTCAAGCACTGACGCACGCGAAGCCACTCCACCGTGGAGTCCACGCCACGCTTGCGAGCGAGCGCACAGTGCAGTGCACACTGCACACTGCAGCACCCAAAACTGTAATACAGTCAGCGACATCATGCGGTCAACGACGCTCAGAATCGCAAAGATACTTTTTGCTAACATACCGGTAAGTAACTGTTTAACCCATCTCGAACTCACAACCATCGATGCTGACAATTGGAGCAGCGCCAGGATACTCGCCTGCTCTTCAGAAGTGCCAGCGTGCAGTGGGTGCCTGCAGGAACATCCAAAAATGACGCTGCGAGCCGCAGTGTGACAGCTCCAACCGGCTCGGTGATTTTTCACCAAAAATGATGCCGCTGGACTCCAACCTGGAGCTGCACCAATGCTGCAAATTTGATGGCTGGCTCCGCTGAAAACGCTCCTTGCTCCTCGCTGGTCGGACCGAGACACACACGCACCTCTCCGTGCCAGTAAATTTTCGCAGGTATCGCAGCTTCCGAATAGTTATTCGCCTGTCACATTCGGTGCACACTCAACCCAGGGAGCTTCATGTATTAAAAGTAATACTTTTGCTGACTACGGCCATCGGTATCCAATAAGCTCGTGGCTCCTGGCGGTTGATCGCTCGCGGGTTGCAATGGCCCCGCAAAACGAGAGAGCTTGTTCACCACATGATGTCTCGACTTGGTTGAAGGGCTCCATGCGTGTCCATGCTCTTCAGTCCTCATGGTACCATCAATTCGCTCTTATCTCTGCTACCGCGGCCGACGTGTCAGTATTCTACCATTGACGAGTCTCGTTTAGCTCACTGGCAACGCCGGACAAGCTGTCGCCATCCACAACGCAGCGACTTTGCCTTAGCACAGACGTCTGCGATTGCTTCACTGGGGAAAAGAGTCCGGGTGATATGATGTCAGCGCTGCCACCACGCGCTGCCGGCATTGGTCGAGCCAGGAGTGGTGAAAATTCACTTGTAGCCGTGCTCCAGTCTCTGCTCGGCTTAGCACCACAAAGACTAGCCATCCTAACAAGGCTTTCCCGGCCAATAAATTTACAGCACGCCGCCATCGCAGACGCCGCCTAGCCGCTACATGTACTGTATCATTAATAATAGGCTAGCGCACCAAGACGGCGCCAGGAACAGCACCAACTGCTGCATACAAGACCAGCTTGACTATCACAACCAGCTGCGAGACCATCACTGCACCGTCCAAAACGTATCTTTTCAAAAGTATACTTTAATTCAAGTCAGCGCCCGTTAGGCAAAAGTTCACAAAAATAAAGTGTTCGGACTCATCACCGTTGTCTTGTTTCTGGGGATTGATTTTCGTAGCCTGCTCGCCCTGTCGCTCCGGGCACCAACGCCGGCGTGTGCCACTGCCCTCACTTTCCGATACGCCTGGAAGAGGGCAAGTCGCTGTTGCATTTCTGGTGGATCTGGTCGCTGTATCGTTCTTCGACCCCCACCCACCCACCTCACACCCACACACACGCCTGCGTCGCCACCATATTGCCACCAGGATGATGATCCCGGAGTATTCCCCGCGGGGAACCTCCATCACGTACCGGAACGCCACGGCTGTTCCGCCTATGGTATATCGCCTAAGCCTGAAGCCGGCGTCACCCTCGTCACCCAGCTCTCCAACGGCCTCGGCCGCCACTCCCACGACACCGACTGCCACCGCGATCGTCTACGTTCAGAGTCGCCCCACTATCCCAAGCAGCTCCAGCACAGGAACTCTGGTGGCCACTGGTAGTTTCCGTCGTGCTCGTCGACGCAAGAGCCACTCGGAGTCAGCACTGCGTCTTGAGCGCATGTTGGCTCCGGCTCCCCTTGGTCGGCGTGCTCGCCCGTACTTAGCGGGCGAGGAGGCTGACTTGGTCCGCACAGTTACCATCTCTGGATATTCCAAGAATAACCACGGTACCTGGATGTTCAAGGTGGACGTGGGTGGACCCAGCGACAGCAACGCATATGTGGTGCGTCGCCGATTCAAGGACTTCAAGTTGCTGCACGAGGGGCTGTCAGAGCTGTCAGAGCTGCCAGAGCTGCCTCCACATGGCATCGTGTCAGTCTTCCAGATGTTCGTGTCTCCTGACAAGCTGCTTACCACGCGAGCAGAACGCTTGCAGGAGATGCTGCTTGTGATCCACGCGCACCCGACGCTGTACAAGAGTAAAGCGTTCAGCTCTTTTATTGGCAAGAACCCAAGCAGCTACGACACCGGTTATGTGAGCCTGTCGGGCTACGAAGTGCCGGCAAGCCAGCGACCTAGTCCGGCGGGGTCCTTCGACACCAGCTTCTCGGTGTAAAGAGAGAAACCAACGAAGTCGAAGAAGAGAGCAATAAGGGGAACACGACAGTCAAGAAGAGGGAGAGACGAGAGGAAGGGCGATTTAATCGAAGATGAAGACACCACACACGTACAATAGGTGGAGCTACTGGAGAAGAGAGTAAATTATTTATTTACTGAGTTTATCGACCCGTGTACTGGAAGGGTGCAATACACGTAACCATGACTGCGTCTTGTTACTTGATCATGTAGTATTATTAACAACTACAGATATCAAAGTAGTAAATTGGAACTTGTTTCACGGTGACCAGGGTCACAGTGACCGTCACCAGCAACTTCTGCCCAACGAGTCGTCGTCGGCGACGACGCGAGGAGAAAACCGCCCGCTCTGCCGAGACAGCAGACGTGCTACCAACGCTCGATCACCGCGGTGACGTCGCGAGCGTAGGATCGCTTACCATCGTTGTCGATCCAGAGGTGGCGGGAAGCCCGCATCAACGAGACTTCCATGGTTGGAATCCATCCCAAACTGTTGTACCTGTATACTATGGCCGCCATAGTTTTCTTCACGCCATGCACACTGTATTAATAGGGCACTCATTCCGTATTGTCGTCGCCTCTAGGATTTTAAATTAATTCAGTACGGTACTGTCAGTAGCCAGCTACTCTATGTATTAATAACTTTTAAGTTATTAATACATGTTTTTATAACAGGTTACGTACGACTTTTTCCAGGAGGTTAGACTGGCCAATTTCAGTCTTATTCCTGCGCCAGCAGCTCAGCGCGTACTCCAGCCGTTACGCGAAGCTTTTCTACGATTAAGCGTGCCAAGCCCATTCGCATCAAGAAGAGCGAGGCTCGCCGCGTCGTTCCTGATGCACCTAAGCCAAAGAACGCACTTACAGAGACCCCTGCGCCACCCCCGCCAGCGAACCCCTTCGTACAATCCGAGCAGCAGGCACCGCAGACGTTCGGTGGCGTCATTAAGGAGGTCGGTCACTTTCCATAATGGCGGGTTTATTTATTGTAGAGGTGACGAGGACTCACTTGTTCGTGATGAATGTGCAGAGTTTCTTGTGGGGGCTTGGAGTGGCTGCTGCGTTCTCCGTGATTGGCATTGTTTTCAGTAGCATGGAGGAGGTACGCTTGGCTTTCTATTAGATGTGTATGGCGCTGTAGGATGCTTACTTTTTTCGGCACTGTATTGCTGTGCTCTAGACGACGTCTCCGGGTAAGTTCGAGGGCAGCATCGTCGTCCCTCGGAAGGACCAGCACTGAGATACGTTTACAACACAAAGGCCAAGCGTATCCAACGATTTACGTGTTCATTGACAATTCTAATCAGAAATGCTGGGTGGCATCCATAAGCCACCGTCCCTTTTGCCGCTACCCGGCGTCGTACATACTATAACGTTATTACGGTCTCGCTTCCATACCTTTCATCGTCGTGCTCTTCCAATGGAGCTCGCTTAGGCAGGTTGCTGAGCCTCCATCACCTCGCCACTAAATCCGAGAGCAAGTTAATCCCAATCGTCATCTGAATCCGAGTCGGCGTTCGACTTGGTCTCCTCGTACTCGACGTGGATGCGCCGCATCGCCATGGCATTCGTGATGGCTTCATTGATGGAGCCTGGTTGTGTCACGGGTGGCGGCGGAGGTTTCGCGGCGGTCGATGCACCATCAGAGTTGCCACCTGCCGAGTCATTGAAATCGTCACTCTTCTTAAGCTGAGTTCCCTGTCGAATCGCTGCCAACAGATCGCCACGACCACCACCGAACGGGTTCGGACGTCCAGGCGGCAAGCCCGTTACTGCTGGTTTCGGAGGTGCTGAAGGAGGTGGAGGAGGTGCAAAGCTCGCCCTGGAACTCGCCCGAGAGCTCAGTCGTGAACGGGATCGACTCTTCTTGCCACGCTGCGTATCTTCAGCAACCGAACTGATAACACTGCTGGAAAAGTCGGACGTCCTTGGCTTCCTTCGCTGCGTTGATGAAGCTGCTGATTCGCCTCGCTGTCGTGTCAATGGCTTTGGAGTATCAACTGACGTGTCCGAATCGGACTCTAGGTCGGAATCCAAGCCAAACAATCCCTTTGATGCTTTTACTTTGGCAGCTCGAGGTGGCGGGCTATCGCTTCGAGATGAAGCAGATGAAACAGTCTCTTCCTTCCTGGGATGGGGTGCAACTGGGCTTCTTGGAGGCCTTCCATCGGATTGTGCACCGTTCGAAGCACTCTCGTTCGGCTTCTGTCCGTTCGCCAGTGCACGCGCAAAAGCACCGTCAATGTGGTATTCAAACTGGAACCGCTCACTTGATAGCACTCCCGGTAAAGCCACTAACTGCTGCAAGTACAGACGGAATTCCTGCCCACGCTTCTCCATGTTCTCCGGTTTTGTGTTGCTGCGTAAGCGATGCTTAGACGGGAACTTCGGCAAGGTAATTCCAGGGAAAGCCGACATCAAGCGCGTGTGGATCTCCTCAAACTCCGCGTATGTGAATGAAAACGTGTGCTCCAAGTTCCCGAACTGAAGCGTAAACGTAAACACGCCAACTGACTTTCTGCCTTCGGTACGCAACGCAGATGATGTAAATAACACAACAACACTAGGCCCTGCTCCACCAGCTCCAATATTGTTAGTATGGACATTCTTCGGACTTGTAGACACCATTTTGCGTGGCTGCGCGAAGAACGAGGTGTCTGGTCACAAATATCAAGAGTGAGAACAGCAATATAGAACTCAATTAACGAAGCACGACGTACCATTGTCAGAGGCGGAGTCACTTGACACTTCCTCACTGCTCACAGACGGCGCAGGGACCTTCTTCTTCATCGGTGTCGGACGTGCATTCACACTCAAATCGCTTGAACGCATACTGGCCGAAGCACGAGAATTGCCGTTAACAGCCTTGCTTTTCCGTCCACCCACACCAAACAGCCCCGTATCAGAACCCTCGTCCTCGTCGCTGCTACTGTCATCAAATAGCCCTCTGCGACCGGAGTTCGACTTGGTCGTGGGTTTGGATGAAACATCCTGCGCCATCGCCTTCTTCAAAATCTCCTTTCCTTCAGCACTCAGCTGGGAATCGCGTTTCCGATTGCGCACCTTCCCGTTGGCTGCTACCGGACTTAAGGCACTGCTGGCGACGCTCATCTCCTCAACAGTGTCAGCTCGATTACGTCGGATTGCAGCTAGACTCGCAGCGAAGGCGTTTGCCATCGAAGGTTCTGGAGCAGGGGGACTGCTGCTTCCATTCGATCGATTCGCACTCTTCTTTGCCTTCCTATCTGGCACAGCATGCGAAACTGTGGTTACGGAACTCATTGTGGACCCAAACGAGTCGCGGCGGCTGGTACGAGATGCTCGAGACGCAGATTTTGGCCTCCCTCCGCCCAAAATGGCAGCCATATTGTCTTGAATATGCTGTTTGCCCTTGTCTGCACTCGAAATTCGGCGACTGCTTTGAGAAAAAGACGAGCGGGCTGCCATGGGGTCCTCATCTCGATCGAACGCGAACGAATCAAACGACGCACTGCGTAAACTGCTGCTGGACCTTGAGAATCGAGACTTGCCATCATTAAAATTGTCGTGGTCAAAGAGCGGAGGAGGCGGCGGGGGAGGTGGAATGCCCATCGATGCTCTTGAAGACATGGAAATTCGAGAAGTACTGGACCAGCGAGGCGGCGGCGGGGGAGGAGGTACATGATCATGTCTAGACCCCGTCACGGACGAAACTGAAGAAAGACGCGAAGACATCGAAGAACTGTCCGAGATATCGCTCCCTGAAGACCTTAGACGCAAAGTAGCGTCATTGTGAACAACACCACCGACCTCGAAAACTGTGCACCAAGTGAAAACCACATTAGACCGCAATCGCTCCAAATCTCAGTACAAAGGCACTTACATTGTCCTGGCGGAGGCAGTTCCACGCGAACTTTCGTCTTCTGCTCCACCACTTTGGTATGCAAGGGTTGCACATTCTCCGTTTTACCTCCCGCGGCTTCCTCCAGTCTTCGTCTGTACGCTGCCTTATTAACTCTCCCCATAGTCGGCGCATGTCGACGTTGCAGTCTCTGCTTCCTCTTCTCCAGCATTCTGGCTGTGTCGTCGTCTAGCGAGCCAATGTCGTCGATCCGTTCCAATGGCGTCATATTGTTGATCTCTTCCTCTCGGGCTAGCAGTCGATCCTGCTCTTCTTTGATCATCCGCGCCTTCTTCTCCTTCCACTTGCGGATCTGTTCCTCTCGTTCTTGTTGCAGTCTCTTCTCCTCCTTCTTGACACGATGTCGCTCGCGTCGAACCTCCTCCCCCGCTGCACTTTGAGGGTCCAGTACAGCCATAAACCCTCGACACCATTTCTCCAGGTCCACGCGGTTAAAAGCTGCCAGATGCATCCGCGACTTGGCGTTGCGCTCTACTTTAAGCTCCAGTCCGTACGAGTCTACTTTAAGTAGACCGTCTCCGTCCCAGCCACCGAAGCCTTGCAGATAGGCAGAGTCTACCTTGCTGCGTGTCTCGATGTCGCTGCCGTCGAAGAACTCAAGCTTGCGGTTCATTGTGAGCACTACGTAGAGCTCTTTGAGGGTCTTGCTGCTGATGGTTGGCTTCCAATTGGGAGGCTTCGTGCCTCCACTGCGTGGGGATGCAGGATCATCGCGCTTGCAGAGCAGGAAGCCCTCCTGCACGACCCAGGACCCACCTCCCATGGTCTGGTCCGAGGAGCTTTTTGTATGGAATTTCTGGGTATGAAGACAGTCGCAGAGAAGAGGAGCTGTCCGACAAAACGTGTCTCCTTTTGACCTGGATTTTTAAAAGCATCAAGTGAGAAGACAAGTGTGTAATGAGACAGTATCCGGACACAAAGGTGCATGCGACATCCGTATTTTTTGAACTGATGATGCACTCCAAGGGTCGGAACTACATGTACATGTAGCTACACGCCGTGTAGCAGCGACTGCGCTTGGCTGAGCTCCTCGTACAGCGCCAGAAATTTGTTCTTGCTCATGTCTAAGCGGAGCTCACAGCTTTCGGGTGCAGCAGTTGTCGCCACGTTGCATTCCACCACCGGCTGGTCCAGCTTCAAGTTCAAAATCACTTTGGACGGGTCCTTCTCCACCTTCCACTCAATCTTCTCGACGCCAGGAAACTGTGGGAGTATAACAACACACAAGAGAGTCTGATATCAGCATACAGTAGTAAATATGGATAGGAATATTCAAACCTGAAAGCGTCGGGCACGTTGCTGGTCTTGGATGTGGACGCGAAGATCCTCGTAGCTCTGCGCAATGGTCTCCGCAGTCTCTTGTTGCATGCCTAGCTGTTGCAACTCCTCCACCAGATCTATGCGGTTGACATCGTACTTGGCAGCGTGTATCAAGATGAATTGTAGCACAGCAACTGCAGCCTGCAAGGATACTCGAAGCGTCAGGATCCCAATCCCCGCCGGAGTAAGGGTTCAAAACTCATTGACCTTGGCATCTGCAGCGTCCTCAAACAGCTTTTGTGTCTGATCCAGCTCCTGTAGATACGAAGGCAGCACTGCTAAGCTCTTTGATCCACTTTCCGACTCATAGCAAGCAACATCTCAACGGACCTGCACTTCGATATCGACCCCAATTGCTGCACACATCGCAGCCAGATCGTTCTTCGTCTGAGGATTAGCGCCAACAGCAGCATAGCACATTAATCAGCGCATCAATTTACTATTATTACTGTACGCTAATCAAAACCAATGACGCACCACTTTGCTGTGCTCGCCCGACAGCAACAACAGCTCGGCCAGCAGCCAGTCAGGCGGCTCCAGGCCTCCGCAGAACCGGAATTTCTGCACCAGATGCACAACGCGTAAGTGCTGCGCATAGTCTTTCCCTTGTATACTGTGTCAATGGGGTCTAATAGTACGCAGACCAGCGCGCATCTTGGTGATCATCACACCACGCACCATTTTTCTCGCTTGCAGAAATACTCAGATCTGAGCCTAAATCTCTCATCTCAAAAGGTCGCAAAGGAATTCTGAAAACGACAGTTGCTGACGGTCTCATTGTGGCGCATGCATAATGGCGGTGGCAGCGCTGTCTGCACCGAAGCATCGTAAGGACGCAGAGGGCGACAATAACAGCGCAGACAGCTTCGCCTTGCTGCTCGTGCAGGAGTGGCTGGTGGCCTGCAAACTCGCTGCCACGGCGCAATGTCTTGTGGACGAATGCGCACGATCAGAGCGAGATATTCCAACAAAAATGCTGTGGAAGCGAATGGTGGAGAATTTGGGTTTCGGTCCACGGAGCCCAGCGACCGGAGGGAAACGTAGCAGTGGCAGTACGACATTGCTCGAAGCTTTGATCAGGCGAGTAACTGAACAGCACGAGAAAGAAATAGCACAGACGCTTCGAAACCAGGCCATGGTCCCACAGCAGCAGGTTGTGGTCATGAGCAAGAAGAGAGAATTAAAATTTGTTCACAAAAGGTCTTTGCCGAGATTCAACAATAATGACTCGGAAAGAACACCCGAGCTATCGACTTCATCGTCTTCCGTTGGACTCCGACCAAAGTCTGCGATGGTCTACAAGAGCACATCCGATCTATCGAAAGCGTCAAGTGGTGACTCACTCAATAATAGCGGCGCGAAGGCTTCGATGTCGCCTGGTACGGTCTCCTTGGTGAAGAAGAAAAATACCTCGAGTAAGAGACCCATCAGCGCTGCTAGCGTGTTCACAACACACAGAGACTCTGTGATGAAGAAGAATAGTGTTGCGATAATTAAAACTCCACCATCGCGCTCACCGACGTGTAATTTTGGTCAACATGTCGTGATAGAATCAGTAGATGAAGCGATGAAACCACTTGCCCACCACCACAACTCAACGGTGGGGATACGTGCAAGTTTGCCTCGTATCACGGAAGATACTGGACCAGCAATTGAGGAAGACGATGAAGGTAAAGAAAGCCCTTTGCAGGACGAAGACGAAGCGCCTTCTCAACTAGCACCAACGTTATCCCTCGAGGAAATGAGCGAGGAACGTCTCACGGAGCAATTTGGATCGCTCTCGCGCTGTGCCATCAAGAAGCTGCGTCGTGTATTGGCAAAGTCGCACGCGTACTCACAGGAGTTTGAAAAGTCCCAGCGTACAGTGGACAAGATCAAGGCACGCGCTAAGCTGCGTCAATTGCGTCGCGTGCTTGCGGAAGAGCAGACACCTTTATTAACTAGTACTATGGCTCCTCTCACAAGTGAACCGTGTTCCCTCTGCTTATACGTGTTCCCGAAGAAGAACCTCATGACAAAAGTATCCTACAAAAGCATTGTCGATCTACGAGCGTCCTGGGCAGCAGCAAGCGGAGCAACAACCAGTGAGGAGGCCGCGCAGCAAGCTGCGGAGGGGATGACTCACGCGCGGATGACGCATTTGTACGACGAGGCTCCAGTTTGCGCATTTTGCTCGCAGCTAGTACTGAACTCCTCTTCGTATCGGGTACGTTTGCTGCATATTAAGTTAATATTATTGTCGCCTTACACAGCGGCGTGTAAGTGCAGCCCTCATCGGCAGATCGTCGAGCACAGCATACCAGGGAGCGACACGAGGGCCTCGAGATCTTAAAGGAACTCGAAGCGAAGAAGCGACGTGATCTCGAGAAATGCGACCCGCTCGACTACCACAACTTCGAACTAAACAGCGATGACGGCGGCGACAGCGATGTTGAAGAGGTCGTGGAGTTGGGAACGGACGGCCGTCGGCAGGTTGTTCGCCGACGTCGTCGACAGACGATGCGCGCACCCGTGCAGCTCGGTGTGGTGTCCAAACGCCTGCACTACGATCACTTACGCAGCGACTCGCTCCACATGCTCACATTGAACGAGTGGCAGAACATCACGCGCTGAATCAATGAAATTCCACATGACCCAACAGCAACATCAGCAGACTGTTAGTGAAAGTCATCTGCTGCATGGTAGTGGCCAGGGGTATTAAATGATTTTGAAGGACAACCAGATTATCGATGGGAAATCAATGCCATCGGAAGGGTCTGCATTACAACAATGCCAATACCGGTACATGTACCGGTAACTTCAACACATTTCGCAATTCCAGGATCGCCACAAATTGGGAGTAAAATTTGGGCCCGCTGACGATTTGCATCGTTTAGCATCGGAAGGCTTCACCTCCGTCTGCATTACAACAATGCCAATACCGGTACATGTACCGGTAACTTCAACACATTTCGCAATTCCAGGATCGCCACAAATTGGGAGTAAAATTTGGGCCCACTGACGATTTGCGAGAATCAGTATGAGATGGCTGCGCAAGTACGTGGCCTAGGACAAAAAGTCACCGCGCCTAAGGCAAAATTGCCACAGTGCTGGCGAACGTATACACTGTTCTCCTTCTCCGGTCTTTGCTATCTATAAGATCCTGTACGAAAGAAGTCAAGCGCTTTTAATAAAATGCGCCAAGGCTAGGTGCATCTTCGGAGTTGAAGCGTGGACAGCTGTGCCAGCGCTTTCCTTTACGTTTCGCTCCCAAAGATTTGACTAGAAACCCATAAGGCTTTATTTTTGCTTCCATTTGTTATGCGGATGTGCGTCCAAACGGTGCAGTTTTCCTCAAACAAGATTTCTAAAAACTGGTCAGTCAAAGGCTAAACCGCGCCGAGGGCAAAAAGGATTTGTGTGGCGATGCAATGCGCTTCGTGGTATTATATTACAAAACGTAATGCTGCGCAACTCTCATTCCGAAGCTGTTAGACAAACTATTACGTAGTATTACTTGCGTTAAGTAATACATGTAAGTACATTTGCATTTGAGGAATGCAGTATTAGAACCCCAATTTAATGCTAGTGTGACCGTTTTTTTTAGGGCTCTCACTGAACCAGCTGTACCCATTTCTACCATTCCCCCATTTCCCGTTCCGCGCTACTGCTGATTGAAACACAACCTCAAACGTCCAGTCCTACACAGGTGAGCAGCTCAGATGGTCGCGACCGACAGCGCAGTGAAGCCGAAGCGCTCTAGCTTCGTGCTAGGTGGGTTCCTGCCCAAGGTGCCTACCTACCGTAAGGAGAAGAAGGATCCCAGTAGCGTCGTTCTTGATCAGGAGGCCGAGGAGGAGCCTGTGCTCGACGATAATCAGGTTGAGGACCAGCCCAGTAAGTTACCGGATTTCCCTGGCGAGCGCCGCTCTCACGACGGCGTGGTGCCCGCTCCGTCCGCCGCATCTGTAGCGGCCGCCGCTATCCGTCGCCGTGGCATGTCCATCGAGCAGACGGCAACGTCACTCTACCGCCGCATGAGTGTGCGCCAGAACTCCGCCCCCGAGCCGGCAGAGACTGCCAAGCCGTCGCCAACAGGCAGTGACGAGAGATCACCGTCGCCTCAGACGGACACTGTGCTCACGGTACGACGTGGCATGTGCGTGGCCACGACGTTCGGCACGGGCGCCGTGCTGGACGTGCGAAACGATGACGGCTTCGTCGTGGTGCAGCTGGTGCCCAAGAGCATCGCGTACCTGCGTGAGGAAACTATTATCAGGGAAATTAAGAGTGTGGTAGGCGAGAGAGTCAAGACTCGCTGGGGTATGGCCACTGTCGAGCAGTACTACGTCGAGGAGGACATGTACAGCATCGCTTTGGACTGGCGTTGGGACGATGAGCACGTGTGGCGCATGAAAGCGACAACCAAGAAGTTCGAGAAGATCCACCCGCGTGGAACACTCATCCAGAACACCAAGAACCGCTTGTTCGAAGGCTACAGCTCGCTGCGGGAAAGCGTCGGGTCCAAGCTCATCACCAGCAAGAGGTAGAGGCGTGCATTGCTGATTTTTGCTGCTAGAGGGTTTTATATATTGTTAGAGACCGTTTCCGGGATGGGTTTCTCATAGTGTTTCGTTTGTTGTGTGTCCTTTCACGCTGGTGCGTATGGTGAGACAGCGTGGCAGTTAACACCAAGCATGACGCGGTGGAGCAGCCGGATCTGGGCAAGGCGCAGACGCCTTTCGGTGTCTGTACGGTGCTGAAGGTGCGCACGGACAAGTTCTTTGTGGTCAAGACGCCAATCGGTGCCACAGCGTACCTGAACGCGGATTCGGTGCGGATGCTGGGACGACGGACGCATTTCGTCAGTGGAGACCGCGTCAACACGCCCTACGGAGCAGGTCACATTGCACACTTCCGCGAGGAGGATGAGACGTATGCTGTGGAGCTGGAGGCGCCGTCAAGTGCCGGCCAACTGCCGTTGCTGTTCATTAGCGACGTGCATGCCGAGACAGACTTGACGTACGCACCAGTGGCTACGCGCCTGTCCTCGATTCTGAACATCACACGCACGTCCATGATGAACGCCGGTGAGAGAATGCGCAGCGCTTCGGTTGCTGCTGGAGGCCTCCCCACGCTCCCGGCTAACCTGCCTGCGCTCCCGGGTGGCCTACCTACGCTTTCCAGCGTGAAGGCCAGAGTTTCCACCATGACAACCATCAAGATGGCCCCGTAAGCATGTTTTTTTTAGCTATTGGGGTAGTCGCGCTTCTGACGAATTTGTTTGGTTCTTTTAACAGGAAGGGAAAGTTCCACAAGGATGAGCGTGTGCTGACATCGTTCGGATCCGGTTTCGTTGTTGAGGCTCGTCCACAGGACAAAATATACCACGTGAATCTACGTCGACTCAAGTTCTCGGGCTACTTCCACGAGGCGAGTCTGGCTCCGTTTCCCTACGAGCGCGTCACGCATTTTGTGGTGGATGGCCGTACGGTTCCGGCGCCACCTATTCCCAAGAACGCCAGTGATTACAAGCGTCGCGCTGTGATTTCCGCGGCAATTAAGTCGGCCCGTGAAGGCAAATACCTTGCTCCAACAGTACCTGCAAAGCCCGAGGAGCCCAAGGTCGAAACACCTGAGGCACCGATCGATGCCATGGCCGCCGCTGAAGCTGCTGTCGCCGTGGATGCCGCCACCGCTGCGGCTGTCCCCGCACCGGTGCCAGTCGCGGAGTGAATGCGTCAAAGTCTCCGAGGAACCACGTTCGCAAACAAAAAATCGGCCTAAAGGATGTGAGTGTCTCCATCCGCACTGTCTTGCGACCCACAAGTTGCGAGCATTCGTAGTAGCAGTAGCTTCAGTTCGCCATCGAGTTTGTATAATGGAGCCGCGTTCAATTTTTACAACAGTCTTGGAGAGCGGAATAGATTTCATTTTTCAGTAAACGAGTTTCTAAGCAGGTAAGTCAATCTTGTTGTTTCGCCAGCAAGCGGTGCTGCTCTTTAATGATGTTATTTTGCCTCGAGCTGATGCCGATGTAGCGTGTAGATGGCACAGTCTCATCGCGAACTTGGTCTGTTTTCTTCTTGCGGTTGTCCCGACTCGAAAAGATTTTCAGCGATGGATGTGGTGACTGTTGCTGCGCGATAGCGCTACTTTGCTGGGACTTTCGCATTCGCACAGCCTCTTTGTATTGCTTTCGCCAAAACACATCACCCGTCTCACTGCGCTGTTTATAAGCGCTCGCAACATCGAATCGCTCGTCGTGAGGCACGTCGATGGCACCTGGACATCCGAGTAGAGCTGCCGTAGCTGCGGGTGTCATGGGAGTACGAATACCTATGTTTGCCTGGGCGTATTGAGTTGACGTTATTGCATTTCGAGAGATCATGTTCGTAGACGGCGAGCCCGGTACAAGTGGCGAATTAGCCTTCCACGCTGCTTGAGGCGCGCGACCTCCTGTGGTGTCGAGATGTAGAGTCCGCAACTCGGCAATCAATGCTTTAGCTTTATCTAGCTCCACGCGGTGCACGTTGCGCTGTTGCAATGCTTCGGCCAGCGCCAGGTCCTTTTCTTCGAGTAGATTCTTCAGCTCTTTAAGCTCTGTTTCATGAATACCACAGCCGCAATTGACGCCTCTCTTCTTGCTGCCAGCTCGGACATCCTGGCTAGCCATCGGAAACTCTCCATTTCGTTCTCGCAGCTCATACTGCTGCAGCCTCTTGTACGCCGCTGTCAATTCCTCTTGCTGCCGAGCAAAGTCCTGCGTGAGTCGCTCAATAGCTGCTGCCATCCTCAGCATTTTGTGGTGAGCGTCTAGCTCGTCCTCATTTACCGGCGCGACAAAATCATCATCCGTGATCTCGTTGCGCTGGCCAACGTATCGCGGCTGTTCCATTTCTGAAATTGAGCGTCGAAAAATATTTAATGAGGACGCCCAGCGGACGAGCCAAAAATATCGCTGGTTCTTTCAACCTGAGCATTAGTGACTCACTAAGGCTCAGGTTGAAAGACTAGTAGTGAGCCTCGTGCGTGCTATAATAACTGCGCGCTCAGGAAGCATTTTCCGTCAGAACGACAGCCAGCAGGAAGATGTGAAAAGCTTTCACGCACTCTTCACGCCTTTGCCCAATAGCTTCAGTCTACTGCTTTAGTGTGATTCTTACTCAGTAAAACGGCTCGAGAGTCTCGTACTTGATCGGAACAGCCAATCAAATAGATTAGTTTTGAGACGTAAAGAAGCGAATTGGATAACATCAAGCAGCCTTTTCATTTCACATTTTCGAAAGAAGCGATGTCGTCCAGCGCTGCTGCACCCGAGTGGCCTTCTATCACAGAGGATCACCCTATTAACCAACTACTTAGGGCGCTTCCGTCGCTTATCACGGCTGCCAACGGCTACAACGAGGTATACGGCGTGACGCTGGACCCGAACGGATCATTCACGACCAAACTCATCTTGCAGAAGTTTCTCCGTGCCAACGCCAACGAAGGCCAAGACGCAGCTGGGAGAGACACTCGAGTGGAGGAGCAGCTTTAAGCCTTTGGAGACGCTGGGTGAACAGTTCTCCAGGGACATTTTCGGCGGCTTGGGCTACGTGATCGAGATCGAGGGCGTGTCTGGCAGCGAGAACAAGAAGGACGTCGTGACGTTCAACATCTACGGAGCGGTAAAGGATAACAAAGCCACATTCGGCAACCTTGACCAGTGAGTGGTGCTTTTAGTGCTCGGTTATGGAAAGGGTAATAAGTTGTGATCAATGTGATTTATCAGGTTCTTGCGTTGGCGTGTGGCGCTCATGGAGAAGGGTATCCAGAAACTAAAGCTGAGTGAGGCAACAGCTCCCATTCCCGACTACGGTGAGGGCCACGACCCATACCAAGGAATCCAGGTGCACGACTATCTCAACATCTCGGTCCTGCGTCAGGACCCGGACGTCAAGGTCGCCTCGCGGAAGACCATCGACGTCTTCTCCAAGGTGTATCCTGAGATGTTGAGCCGCAAGTTTTTTGTCAACGTGCCGGTGGTCATGGGCTGGATGTTCACGGCTTTCAAGCTCTTCCTATCGGCGGAAACTAATCGCAAGTTTACGGTGCTGAGTTACGGCGAGGAACTTCACACCGAGCTGGGCGACAGTATCCCCGAGGTCTACGGCGGCAAGGCAGCTCCGCTCGATGCCATCGGTGAGCAAACGCTGTAAGCAGAAGCAAGCTGAGCTACGTCTACTCCCTGTCGACACCCGCTCGTGCCTGAACCGACGTATCCAGTTCTTATGTGTGTATTGTGAAAAAGGGTTGATTTATTATCCCCTCATGCCACTGTCAATTGGAAATATGGCTTATATCCTAGCAGCAAGTCAACTTTACTCCGAAGTATTAAACCTTCAACTACAGAGCCTTTGTAAATCAATTGTGCCGTTAAAACGTAAGCTCGGAAAATTTATAAAAATGCCTTTAAAACGTAAGCTCTACAGCTGAGCTATAACGAAAGTGTTGTGTGTCATTTTAATCGCGCCCTCCCTGCTGCCATGGGCCTCCTGCGTTCCCTGGTGACGGCAGCTACATCTGCGCTGCTGCTGGGATTCCATGATCTTCCTCTGTCAGATGCCGAATCGATCGGCGTGACCCAACAGCACCGCGTTAGCTTGCGGGTCTTTTTCCGCGCCTTCTGGTTGGTGCACTACGTCCCCCTGCTGCGTCTTTCAGTGACATCCATTTGACCATCACTCTCTCCATACTGTCTACAGTCCAGCCTGCCAATGGTTCGTCGGTGACCCACTGCTGGAGCTTGTGCGGACCGAGGAGTACCGCAACATCATCGACCTGACGTGAGCAGCTCACTGTAATGCTCTCGCGAGTGCTAATTTGCTCACAATTTGGTTCTATTGCTATTGAATAGACTGATACCAGCCGCAGGGATGCAAGAAAAGCAAGACGGAACGATCACGTGCGAGGCAGGTCCGTTGGAGTGCACGGGCCACCGCTGGCAAGTCTGCGCGCTGGATAAAGACCGAGGCGATGTGGTCAAATACCTCGGCACAATTGCGGTGGGCATTCGAATAGATAATAGAAATTACTTGTAGTTGATGATCTGACGAATGGTGGTGGTGGTGATGTTTGTAGTGCATTGAAGGAGACGAATCGGGACAAGTTGGCGACTGGACTACGAAGATGAAAAACTGTCTGACGGACGAAGAGCGTCTCGTGGTCACGGAGTGTTTCGACAGCCGTAGCAAAGACCTTCTGGTTAAGGTACGGGATTGGCGCTTCTTAGGTTTATTGCAGTAGAATAATGCGGACTTGTCGTTGCGTTAAAAGATGATTCGCGAGGAGCGATCGGGAAGCGTTGCTTGGATGCCATACGTACGCTTTCTACTATTCATTCGTTGCCCTGCTTGTCTTTATGAGCTAACGCTGTTTTACTGGTGTCGTTGATGTGCTCTTTTTGCTTTTCCTTAAAGACTATTGTGGATCAGAAGGTGTTGGGATCAGCCACGGAAGGAGTTCCACTGAATATGTTGAAGACTAGCATTTGCTCAGCGTACACAGGACCCAAGAGCTTCTACCCTGCGGAGTGTGTGAAGCTCGTTGGTGAGCAAAAGGAGTTTGCTCCGGAAGAGACTGTGGCTGATAAGGGTGACAAACCGCTGGTGGCTGCTGGTGAGAATACTCAAGGTGCTGCTGCTCCTGGGAAAGGTGCAGTTAACACGGGCCTTCAGGCCCCTGCAAAGGACGATGCTCTCGAAGGTGGCGATGGCGATATTGACGTGGATTTGAAGGAAGAAGTAGCAACCCCTGCGCCCGCTAATGTTCCAACTACGCCCGTGGTGGCAGGCAAAGCTCAACTAGAAATGTACTGGCGAGCATTCTGGTACGGCTGCTACCTTCTCTTCAGTTCTCATCAACTACTAACAACTCTTCGCTGTAGCCCCGGTTGTATGTCGTTTATCACGAAGCCTCTGCTTTCACTTATTCGAAACAAAGAGTGCGTTGCGGCAGCAGATTCATCCTTGATTCGCTTATTATTTTGCGTTCTAACTCATTCTGTGACGCTTGGCTCATCAGGTTTCAGGAGATCATTGATTTCCGCCCGGTTCCCGCTGCTGGTACGTCTTTTGACGCAAAGGGCAACTTCGTGTGTACCGCCGGAATGGTCGAATGCCTGGGACACAAGTGGCTAAGCTGCGCCGTAGAGGAGTTCCACCAAATCGGAGACTTGGTAGAGCGGATCGCTGTAAGTATCTTTGGTGTCCGTGGGGGTATCTACTCTGTTTTCTGACTATTGTGTAATGACTGTAGTGCATGGAAAGCAAGGACAACAAGGGCATGACATGGAGCTTCATTATCAACCGTTGCTTTGAAGGCGAAGCGTTCACGAAGATGAAAACATGTTACGACACGAAGAGTGACGATCTCCTTCGAAAGGTTTGTTGGCAAAGTATTTCTACCAGGCTTCCTGACATCAGACTCTTACACCACAATTCTTACGAACTCGGTGTAGAATGTGGCGAAGAGACAGGCTCTACGTGTGCCTTGGGTCCCCTACGTAAGTTGCATTGGCCGTACCGAGTGCTCTACATTTCCCTGTCTAACTTGAACGCGCAGGTTATTCTCAACGGCACGCCACTAGGCGACGCGAGCCATGGTATTGGCTTGAAGCAGCTCATGGATGCCGTGTGTAAAGCCTACTCTGGACCAAAGGATGTACGTTCTGTTCACTGTATCTGGCATGTTGCACTTGAACCTCACTGCAGTCTTTTTATTCATCCGCAGTTGTGGCCGGCACCATGTCAACCGAAACGTCTTCGGGATGAAGCGGAAACCAAGGCCCCAGCGGAAGAGGTGGTGGTCAAGCCGTGTGCTCCTAAGAAAAAAGACACTGATACCACTGGCAACCAGTACGATGACCCCCCAGGCATTGGTAAGCCGCTTCCAACTGAACCGGAGGCCAAAACGGTCACCGAGTTTGAGGCAAAAGTCATCGGAGGCAAGCAGGCTGACGACGAGGAAACATCGAGTGCCACTATGACTGCAGTTGTTATACCCGGGGTATGCTTCGTGGCACTTGTTGCCATTGCTCTGAGATTAACACGCGACCACAAGAAGGACGCGTGAAAGTTAGGAGACAGTAAACACATGTAAACATCGTCCCAGCTCTCGAGTTTCTGGGACTGACCGCCTCCACAGCTTCGTACAAGTGCGCTTTTCCATTTTTGACTCTTTGCTGTGTCTTCCTTCACCCGAATCTATACGTCAGCTGCACAAAACAAAATCGAGTCGCCCACAGCCAGCTAGACTCCTTCCATATCGTCACTATCCTTGCTGTAGCTCTTTTGTTTCTTCTCGTGGTGACTGGGCTTCTCTGCATCAGAATCCGACTCAATCTCGGGGTTGATGTCCTCGTCAGACGATGAGCCGTGCGTGTTACGGGTCATCTCGATCCCCGGGCTCTCAATCATCGGCAGCTGTTCACCCAAAACGGAAACGTTAGTGCCTGGAGGACACCTCACTAATCACTGCTTTGACCTTCCAACATACCTGCATGGAGTACGCGAACTGCGAGCTGTTCTGGGTTGGCCGCCAGATCAAAGTCATCGCAGCTGAAACTGTAAAGTTCAGCACAGGCCAAGCCACGAGTTGCATCCACTCCCACTCGACGTCCCACTCGAACACACCAAGTCGACTACAGACGGCAACGATTGTAAGAATCGTGAAAAACACGATAAAGGCGGCGAGCGACCAGGCCAGCCAGCGATACATGCTGAGCTTAGCAAACTGCTTCTGGTCTCGCAGGTCGCGGAGAATGCGCTCCATGGAGTACTGAATCCACATGATAAACGCGAGGTTGCACAGCAGCTGAATGAACGACCAGGCCGTCGGCTTCTCACGGAAGTCAGCGCCACTCGACGTTCCGCGCGTAACCTCGTCAGCGATACCCGAGACGAAGTACGCCAGTGATAGGAAGGCAATCACGCTGGCTTCGACGCGGCTCAAGTGGCTTCGAACGATACCGTAGCCAAGGCATACAATCAGCAAGATAACACGCGCCAGCGTGCGCACGAATGTCTGCCAGTGCACAGCAATACACGATAATTAGTCCATCGCACAAGCAATATCTTCACACAGTCACAACTGTCAAACTCACGTCCAGAATCACGGCAATCAGGAACGTCGTCGGGTAGGGGCAGCACACAGGTTCTCCGGTCTTGTTCATCCGGTAGAAGGCGTAGAGCCAAACAGCCGACGCCGCAGTTCCCATCACTAAAATGAGAAGGATACCCCAGTGTAGCGAGAGCAGTTGGCGACGGTGACGGATCAGCAGGAACACGAAAAACACATCCAGCACCAGGTATCCAACGGTCAAGAAGCCGCTGAACGGAAGCATACCGTACAGTACTGCAGGCAGCAGGCCATACGGGTTACGAACCTCCATGGACCCTGAAAACGTCAGCGTCTCGGTGGCTGCGCCCTCGTCCTCAGCACATACGAAGATTTGTGTGTCCGTCCAGCCGCTCGAGTTCACGAGGTGCGACACATTGGCGCTTACGGTGGGCGTGGACTCATTCGCTACCGTGAATACGAAGCGTTGAACGTCTGACATACCATCGAACTTCATACCTTCAACGTCCGAGCAGGCTAGCAGCTCAATCTTGCCGGCCACAGCCTCAAAGTCCTCGTAGTTGTCTACGTGGTAGAAGAAGACCACAAGACTCCAGCCGGCCATGTCTTGCGTCACATTCACGCCGCTGATATCGATCTACAAGCAACGCATTCCGCTAATTAGATGATCTTCCAAGTAGTAGCGTACTCTGCCGTACCGTGACCGACGAGTTGCCAGTGCGAGCGAGGATCGGGCCCTGATCTGTGGCGAAGAGCTTCTCAGCGCGCTGAAACGGAGGTACCCAGTAGCTGCTTGTAACGGGGTAGATGGATGCGGTCACGGCATGCAGCCAGACGCCCCACAGCACTAGCAGCGACGACACGAGCGACGGCATCTATTTCTCCGGTTCTGAGCGAGATAGACGGAGCGCCTGATTATGTTTTCGATGTGTTGATTGGTCAAAAGCAATATTTGAAGACGATGTGACAGTTAGTTGATGAAAATCACTCCAATTCCGCACTCGCTCACGACCACGATGGGGCTGCTTGCCGCGTTTCTGCCGCGATCTAGCGGGCAATTCACGCCATACAGTCGACATCACTACACGGTGCTGCTTATTGCGGTTCTGATGCTGTGTCGTACAGATCTGCTGGTCTCTTGCTCGATTCACGAGGTGCACGAAAAGGTCACCGGCTGCAAGATCACGGAGAGAATGTTTGCAGATGGCCACGGCCCCTGGGGAATCGCTGAACACTCAACTGTTCACGTGGATGCGACATTACGTCCACTGGCGGACCACGAGGTGAAAAATGCTATCACAGTGCGGAGACTCAGCGACTATTTCGACTTTGGCGTCGTGTTGGCCGCCTATTCATCGGACGCGGCAATTGCAGTGGGCTTTGACGATCACACAGCCTGCAGCTGGAATTTCTCCAACTCCAGCAATGTGGACGGCGAACTTCAGGGAGAATTTTACTTGATGGAGAGAGATCAGACGCTACAGGTGAATATGATGTTCTACCCAAAGGAAGGGGGACTACAAACGGCGTTGCTGGTGCCCTGTTGGAAGCAGAAGAGCGCAGCGTTCGGATATCCTGTGAGTGCAGACGAGTTCGTGGCGTATCCGATGGTTGATCCGCTGCTGCATATGGACGCGGAGTTTGCTTTCCGAAATCCGTACGGGTTTCTGCCAGGATTGCTGTACGGGTTGCTCCCATTCAAGTGAGTGCCTATGAAATGATGGGGCTGAACGTGCAAGCTACTTGCTAATCTATTGGTGCTACGTGTTGCACTGCAGCGGAGTTTTATCTTTGATGTATGGTGCACTGGATGTATACTTTTTGGTGCTGATCTACCGCCACCGCCAGAGCGTTGTTGGAACGCACTATTTCCTGCTTTGCGTATTGCTGCTGGCAACTGGTACGGAAGCTGAGCAGGGCTAGTGTCTTCTCTGGAATGGTGGAGTTAATTTTTGACACTGTGCTATATTGTTCTTGTTTTTAAGGTGAATCGTTGGCGTGGTTTGTGACTTATAAACAGCTGAATGATTCAGGTGTGCCTGTTTGCTGTCCGTACCCAGACTCCGTGCTGTTTTCTACGTTCGTGAAGGTTCTGGCCGGGATGGTGGCGCGTATTGCAACCACTCTAGTCAGTTTGGGCTATGGGATTGTCCGAATGCAGATCTCATGGCCAGAGGTGTTCGTGGTTTCTGGACTTGGCGTGTGTTACTTTATCGCTGTTGGAGCATTGGAAGTGAGCCATCTTGCCAATCAATCGGACGGTGATGTGCGGCCTCCTGCTGTCTGGGAAGCGCTCGTCATAATGACCAATGCGTGCTTTGGGGGGTGGATTTACTTGTCTTTGGAGCTGACACGCAAGAATCTTGCCGCTTTCGGCCAGGTAAGGATTCCCGTTATGCCTCCTGTACCACGAAACCCAACAACCGCTCACCACTAATTCTTTTGCGATGAGCAGACTGCAAAACTGCAGATATACACTTCCCTCAATCGCATCTTGGTAGCTTACTTGATGACTTCTTTCATCTTGATGGCAATCGAAGGGGCTATGTAAGTATTGCAGATGATTGTGGTTTGTGAAGGATTAACTGATGGTGAATAATGTTTCGTCGTGGGTATTTGGAATAGTTATTCGGGTGCAGTGCGGATACCGTGGACGTACACGTGGGTTGTGTGGGCGGCAACCCGGCTGCTCTTCTTTGGTATCTTGCTAGTTGCAGTGTATCTATGGCGACCCACGAAGCACGGTTTGCTCTATGCACAAATGGATCAACTTCCCAGTCGCGAACCTGTTACCCCGCCTTCGATCGCCCGCGGTTTTGAGCTAAATCAGCGCGTAGCTTCAGCAGCAGACGACGAAATTTCCCCGCCCTCTAAACACCCACTCGCTTTAGCGTCAGCGAAAAGCACTGTATGCAGTTCGATTGCCGAGTCATTGTGAAAGGAAAGTTAGGCTGGAGCAACTTCCGAGATCGGGGTCGAGAAAGCAACCAGAAATAATTATGAACTTAGGATTAACTGACAAACTGAAAATCTCTGCAGTGTTTCTACAAGGAGTTCAATCAAGGGTCAATTTTCAGTCAAGTGAGGCAAGATCGACCAGAAACATGTCACCTACTACTACAAAACACGCGACGACAGGTTTAAAGCAACCCCTATATATAGGGAAGGCGACCTTGAGTTTGATGCACTATTGCAGCATTCATCTAGCAAGTCTACACAGAGCTGGAAGGCTGCGGTAAGAACGCCAAGGAAGACGAGAACTGCAATACGCACTCGAGTCTGCCAGTTTGCGTTGCTAGTACTGGTTCCTGGACACCGACAGCAAGATCTCCAGCCGTATATGCTCCTTGCGAGCGTTAAGAGTTCATTTCGGCGAGTCTTTCGAGAACACCAAGAGCAACTAGTCACGTCAACTGCCAATAGTCGTTAGGGCCACACTGAATGGGAAGGGGATTGATGCGCCAAGCAGTACACCCGATGGAAACGAGCGGAGATGGCGAGATACGACACAAGTTACATTTGGAAGATGATGACTGGCAGGATGCGGCAAACTCATTTCGGGGGCCATCTCTAGGTCCTGACCTAACTACAGCGCCAGATTTCATGACCGCCGATGGGCCATCTCCACCACCAGTGATGATGAACGGCACTTTAGACAGTAGCGCGCATGAGTTAGAAGAAGACGAGCTTGAAGGCACAGCAGCAGGCCTAGCATCGCCCAAATTTGGCGGCGGCAACAGCTCGAACGTCATTAAAACCGGTCGATTGCTCACGTTCGCGGACGAGACTGGAGGCTCGCTAGTGGAGATGACATATTCCAACCGAACACATTACAGCAAGCAGGCCGGTCCTGGCGCGGTACAAGGTGTCACGAAAGGTGGCTGTTGCGTAGTTCAATGACCCATCCAGCCAGCGTCTTCAGCCTTACACAATTGAGCGTCGCAGTTCCGAAGACTACACTGTAGAGTCTGCCAGCTCTTGTCCCGGTATTAAAATGAGTCCCTGCAAAAAAAATTGCACAGTAGAAAAATTACTTAATCTCCTTCTCGGTCGCTCCATTTGTCAACTTGACCAGCACCAAAACTAAAACAACATCTCCCCAAGTTAGCAATGAGAATTAGAAACAGCAACTACTACCGTAGTAAAAAGCAACAAACTGCATATTTGAGCACAGCGATAAAATCAAGCAAACGTGTGAGTTTCTTGACTAGTTACACTTCCCAGCATGACCTTCTTGTTCCCCAAAATACTCTCAGCGGAATGGCGACGACGAGCCAAGCGCGGCTAGCAGCTGCAGCCCATGCTCGTGCCAGATTCGACGAGTCCTCCACACTCTACTTGTTGGCCTTGGCGGCCTTGTGGCGAGCGATACGGCGGCCGACACCACGGACCTTCTTGCCACGGTTCTTAGCCTCCTTAATCTGCTTACGCGAAGTCTCGACCTTCTCAACCAGACCCTGGCGGATCAGACGGTACTTGGGCTCGAAGCGCTTGGCGTCGTTCACCGTGTCGTACACGAGACCGAAGCCCGAGCTCTTACCTCCGCCGAACTGCGTGCGGAAGCCGTACAGGAAGACGGTGTTGGCGTCCTTCACCTTGTACATCTGCGTGGAGGAGCAATACAACCAACGTCAGCAATCCGCCATCACTCTGCATCTGTGTGTTGTCTAGCCAGCCAGTCAGCAGTGCTCTCCAATGTCCTGAAACCGATTTATCCGTGATTATGGGTGATGCAATCGGCTCTGAAATGTTTCGCTGCTTAAAGTCTGTTCCTGTTGTTGTTCCTGAGGCGATAATGCTGGCTGACTGACTGCGACAGTGGTTGTAGGCTAAATGTCGTACCTTGGAGATCTTCTCCTGAAGCTCAGCCTTGGGCACGTTGGGGCGGCCCGGGTGGATCACCTCCACCACCTGAATAGGCGAATCAGAAGATGAACAGGTCAGATCGAGGTCGCACTAGCGCGAGCAATTAGAAAAGACATGGTCGCACCATTTGGCGGCGAGCCAGAAGGCTGTTGCGGAGGAACTTGCGCGTGCGCACCGTGACGGGAACCTTGTCAGCCATGCTTGTTGTCTTTTTGACTTAGTAACGAGAAGTTCTGCAGGGAATGGAGTGAGCTGCTGGCGAGCGGCTCGAGCGAAGACCTCCAGAGCCAACCAATCCGCCGCTCTACGCGTTGGCCAATCATCGATCGATGCCTACCCCTCCATCTACCACATATCCACCATCCCAGGTATATATATTATAGCAGTAAGAAAATTATAATCAAAACGAAGAAAGACCGATAAACTTCGAGGTATGATTAATCTGCAGAGGTCAATTATTTGGATTTTACTCGGAACAGTGACGCGCTACTAAAATCATAGCTGTGTAGTATACACAATTGTCATCTCCGTCAAAACTCTGTTGAACAACCTCCGCGTATTATGCAGTTATGCGCCACCAACACATTCGCGCGTCTAAATTCCCAGCTATGCACAGCTACCGCTCGCTACTATAGCTACCCGACCGCAGCGACTTAAGCATCAGCTTCTGCAGCTGACTGTCCCTTGGTTTTCTGCGCGCGAGCCTCGGCCTTCTTCGCAGCGTTCTCGGCGAGACGCTCCTCTTCAGCCTGTGCCTGCTTGTGCAAGTCATCCAGAATCGACTGCTTGTAGTCCTCGAACGATCCGTCGTACACCACAACATCCTGGTCGCCGCCACACACCCACAACACACACTCGGTCGACTCAATCAGACGCGCGTCGTGCGTCACGATCACCACGCCGCCTTCATACTCGCGAATGGCGTCACACAGCGCGTCAATGGACTCGATATCCAAGTTATTCGTCGGCTCATCCAGAATCAGAATGTGCGGACGCATCAGAATCAGCTCAGCGATCACCACACGCGCCTTCTGACCGCCAGACAGCAAGCGATTCTTGATCTCGTGCGCGTGGCCCTCGAGACCGACTTTACCGAGCAAGTTACGCACTTGCTGGTATGTCTGATCCTGGAACAAGCGACGCAGGTACTCCACCGGCGTCTCGCCCATCGGCAACTTGTCCACAAAGTGCTGACTGTAGATACCCAGACGCACACGCGGGTTACGACGCACCTCGCCCTCAACCACAGTTACTTCACCCGTGATCATCTTGAGCAGGGTACTCTTACCCACACCATTAGGACCCACGATACACACTCGCGACGTCGTGTCGATACCAAAGTCCGTGTCCTTGAACAGATACGGGCCGTCGCCATAGCGAAAGCTGGCTTCTCGGACTTCAAGGATAGGCGGCGATACGACCGTCGTCTCTGGGAAACTGAACTGCACAATGTACTCCTTTGGTCGCTCCAGCAGATCCATGGGGGCACTGGCCTCCGCTGCGTCGCCCGGCATCATCGACTTCTTCTTGGACGAGCGAGCACCAGGCTCACGTTTCTTCTTGACAATCTCCGTGGCCTTCTTGGACGATTTACCCGAAGCCTTGAGGTTACGCAGCTGCTTCTGCTGTTTCTCCCAGGCCTTCTCCATCTGCTTGCGTTTCTGCTTCTCCATATCTCGAAACATGTCGTAGTTGCCCTTGTAGTGCACAATCTTCTTGTTCTCCAAGTGCAGCACTTCTGTACACACACTGTTCAGGAAATCAGCGTCGTGAGAGACCACGAGCAGCGTTTTCTTCCACTTTTGCAGGTAGTCATCAAGCCAAATGACAGCGTTCAAGTCTAAGTGGTTCGTCGGTTCATCAAGCATCAACAGCGTCGGCTCCACGTACAGCGCCTTGGCCAGCGAGATACGCATTCGCCAACCACCCGAGAAATCCTTCGTGACCTTCTCCTGCATGGCCGAGTCGAATCCCAGACCGAAAAGGATACGGCGCGCACGGGCCTCAGCAGCAGACGCGTTCATGTGCGACAGTTGCTCATACACTTCGTTCAGTCGGTCGTCCAGAGCCGAGTCTTGCTTGGTCTCCAGCTCAGCGAGCAGGAACTTCTCCTCCTCAAGCAGAGCCCAACGCTCAGCGTCGGCCTTCAGCACGGCGTCCACGGCGCGTGTGTCATCAGCCACCACTTCCTGCTCCACGTACAGACAGTCCACCTTGGGCGGGATCTTGAGTTCGCCTAGAGCGATCATCTTTAAGATCGTGGTCTTACCCTGACCGTTGGGACCCACGAGACCATACTTCCCGCCAGCATTAATGTGCAGCGACGCGTTGTCGTACAGCAGCTTGTTGTGCGCGTTGATACTGAAGTTCTCGATGTGAATATCCGTAGCGTTCTCCCAGTTCGAGTCTTCAGTGAAAGCCTGTTGCGAGACGGAGAACTGCGCGCCGTCCATGGGGTTCGCAGCACGGTGGTACTCGTCCTCGCGTTCCTGACGCTCCTGCTCCTCTTTGATACGCTTTCGCTCCTTGTTACTGAGACGTTTACCTTCTTTGTCCTTCTTGGATTTCTTCTTGGATTTCTTCTCGCTGTCGTCTTCATCATCCTCGTCACCGTCGGTGGTCTCGAAGGGAAGTTTGGACTTTTTCTTCTTCTTCTTCTTGTCTTTCTTCTCGTCCTCCTCCGGCTGCTCCACGGGGTCGAAAAACAGATCAGAAGAGATCATTTTCTTCTTGCCTTTCTTCTTGTCTTTCTTCTTCTCCGTCACAGGCTCAGGTTTGGTCTCTTCCTCGTGCTCCTCCTCCTGTTCGTCCTCGTCTTCACTCTCCATAACTTGCTGCTTCTTCTTGTTTTTCTTCTTATTTTTCTTCATAGATGCAGCCACCTGCGCGTACATGTCCACCTCTTCCTGCTCCTCTTCCTGCTCCTCCTCGCTCTCGCTCTCATCCGCCAGCGCCGCGAAGTTCACGGTAGCCTTATTCTTGTTCTTCTTGTTTTTCTTCTTGCTCATACTGGCTGCCACCTGCGCATACGGATCCTCCTCGTCTTCTTCGTCGTCCTGCTCGGCGTCCGACGCTGTGCGCTGACTGGCCTGTTCCTCGTTGGCCTTGACAGCTTGGCGCTGCGCCTTGCGAGCTTTCAGTTTTTCCTTACGCGCCGCCTTCTTGTCGCTCTCGTCGACCACAGCGGGGGCAGCGGGCGGTGCAGCGGTGGCATCATCCGAGTCCGAGTCGTTGCCGCGGCGGCCTCCTTTCTTCTTGCCACGAGCCATCGTGCGAGTTGGATAATGGCTGTCTGACTGGACAAAACCCCGAGATGAGGAGCAGCGATCTGATTGGACGAGCTTTTTTCTAAAGTAGGAAACATTTCTAAATCAATTCTGATTCCTAAATTAGAATCCTGCAATGCTTCAGATGACGCATTCCAAAATTTAAAAATTCTAAATTTGCGACTAAACCAAACGGCAGCGAATGCTACATGGAGCAGCGGATACTACGCTAATTGATTTGTTAGGGAAGGGTTTTGCGTGAGTGCTAGCTGTGAATATACATATAATATACATGCATGACGACATTAGTGGGCCTGTATAAAGTGTAGCCATCTCCAAGTTGAAGTGGTTGAAGTGGCACGTACGGTTTGTCTGACGCCGCACTCGACACGAGCGACTTTGACGGAGCTCAGTGCACTGATGGCAACCGGAGTATCTTCGTCTTCTAATGACCCAGTGCCGAGTTTACCGTCTCGACCGCTTCCCCAGCAAAACATTGTGCCATCACCTGTAGTTGGCAATTATGAGGTCAAAATACGAAATCAAACTCAAATTTAACGGAACGTACTGCAGACAGCAGCAGAGTGGTCCTCGCCACAAGATATGTGTGTGATCTCCTCGGTCATTAACGCTGATACGACCTCCGGGTCCTGTACGAACTGGTAGCTCTTGTTCCGAGCGCCGTCGTATCCTGATTGGAAGAGCTTCTCGTTCTCAATGTCACCCTTCGGCACATCAACACGGTTTAGAAAACATTATTAGAGCAGAACAAGGCAATAACGATCAATACAGCTACGTACCAGCCCCAGACGACCGTTTTCAGCAAATCCCCACGCATAAAGCGTCCCCGATCCATCGAGAGCTATTCGACACAGCGAGTCATCGACCTCGACACCTTCCAACTTCTCTTTCATCTTAGCGCCAACCTAATCAGAATTTGATCCACTTTATCAGTAAGATTGAGAGAGTTTAAAATCTACGACATGTCTCCCCCACCTTGTACGGAATTGATACCACAGGAATCTTCACGCCTGAGGTGCTGGGAGCTTTCTCGCCTTCATCTGCACCAAACACATCCATTCCCAGCTTCAAGACAGAAAATCATTCACGTTAAAGCACATTCACCACTACACCACACCATCGCGTTTTCTTACCCTCACTGGGACTGGATCGACACGAGTTTGAGCAACCACCACGGCCTTGGCTCCAGCCTTCTGCGCCGTCAGTATCTGTGAGTTCAAACTCGTTAGTAAAGTCTAGATCTCTTCGCTGCACACGCTTTTCTTACCTGCTTTCCCAGCACGTCCTCTTTACTTGACAAAATCGACCAGGGTCTCGGTCCTGGCGTCCGTAGCTGTTCCAGTAGCAATACCCCATGTTGACTCTTGCGTATCATGACTGCAGGGATCTTAAAATTGTCAGCATCGCCGTTCTCTTCATCAGCCTCGAGCGCAAAGGCATCAGCTTCAAGGAAGTCAAAAATGATCACCACACCCACAGCTCCAGCATTCTGTGCGTCCTTGACGAGCGAAACGAGAGACTTCATAAGACGTCCGATGAGCTCACTAGCATCAAGTGTTTCCGCATCAAAAGTCACGTCTTCTTGGCCAAACTCGAGCACGGCAATGCGCCCGACGATTTCATCCGGCCGAACATACAAACGCAGTCTTGATAGCCGCTCGGGGGAGTAGAATAACTGTGCTCGCACCCCTTTGGCGTTCAATGGTGGGCCAAAAGCAGCTGGCACACATGGAATCTCCAGCAACTCTGCAGGCCGCGTTGAGTCGATGAGCAACGATATCCAAAAGCCCGTCGCTGTCCCTCGATCAATCAGTGCGATCTTGCCCGTGCAACGCATTAAGCTCGATCGAAGCTGGGAATCGGAGCGATTGTACACCGCAGCACTAAGTGCTGTCGCTGCTGGAGACGACGCCTGCAAAGCGCCTCCGAACTCCGCGGTGGGAAGCGGCACAGCGAAGACTGACCCTGAAATGGCTCGTGAGAGCTGTGTCGGTTGAGATCCGAAGCGCGCGCACAGTGCTATCGTACGTAGAGACTCGCCCTCAGTTTCCTTTTCCTCGTCTTTAGGACTCCTAGGTCGATATGGGAACTGGTCGACATTTAGCGACACTTGGACACGCGAAGTCACAGCGAGTGCGTGCTCTCTTCCGGCTGCAATCTGCTGCACGTTTAAGACCGAGAGCGCGGCGTTTTCAAGAGGTGTGAAGGCGCTTTCGCGTGCGTCACTCGCACCACGCCGTTTCCAGGCTCCCCACTCAAAAACGTGTCGGGTTGGAGCGCGTCCGATAGCGAAAACGTGGTTGCCACCAATCGCCACACTCTCGATAGGCTCCTTGAGCGCATCAATTCGAGTTGGAGATGGCATGTACACGAAATTACTGCCGCTGATGTTGGGATCTAAGAACCCTACGCGGTAAGAATCCGAGTAGCCAAGACCTAATTGCCCATCCGATCCTTCGCCCCAGCTAAACACACTTCCGTCCTCCGTCACGACCACAGTGAAGTAATAGCCACACGCCACTTGTGCCACCCGCATCTCCTCGAAGTAACTGGAGTCCAATTGCAATGGCAAATCGATCACTGAATATTCTCTGCCTGTGTGAGGATCGAATTGGGATCGGAAAATGGCATCGCTACGCTCCGAGCTCTCACCCGACACAGCGAAATCTCCATGTCCGAGTTGTCCATAGCCACCAGATCCCCATGTGTACACGATGCCCCCAGCACTTAACGCAACCGAATGATGGCTACCAAGACGTGAATCGGCAATTACAACATCGTTCAGATCGTCCACTCTAGTAGGTTGTTTGCGAATAACGCCGCCTCCTCCACTAAAGCTGCTACCGTCTTGCAACTGTGGTGGCAAGAGAAATCCAAAGGAACCTGGCACACCTGCGCCCCACGTGAAAACTTGACCGTCGGATGTTACAGCACTTGCATGGGTCTCACTGAGAGCTACGCGAGAGATTCGCAGCTCGTTATTCTTAAAAAATGCCGCTAGCAATGGAGAAGCCACCTCTTTCGAGAGATCCAAGTGTGAGTGCCCTAATTGTGCTCGTGCGTTGGCGCCAAATGAATAAACTGCGCCATGGTGAGCGAATCGCTCGACTTTTTGCTGTCGTAGCCGCTCGCGCTTCTTCTTGCGCGTGACCACCACGTCCTGGATCTTCTGAGCTGCTTGTGATAACTCTTGCTCCACTTCGAGTTGGATCTCCAGACGACGCTCAGCTGCTTCATGTCGTGCCAGCATTCCACGACCACAGCGCTGGATCATCACAGCAGCTTCTTCTTCTGACAGATACTCTCGCTGCACGAAGCAACGCAATAAGTTTACGATCTTTGGGGTCTGCTTGACCCATAAAATATAGCGAGATCGTGGTAGATCTTGCTCATCATCCAGATCGCAATGCGCGAAACACTGACGAGTAAGCTCGGCCACTTCACTCATTGGACACAGCGTTGCGAGTCGTGGACCAAGGCCTTTTGTAGCTTTGGAGAGGCCACGCACCGCCGATTTTATCAGAATTCCCAATTCATCGCGGGTAATGGCACCGGAGGCGTCAAAGTCGAAGATGTCGAAGACAGCACCTGCTTTCTCTTCCAGTTTCCCGTCCGCAGTAGTGAGTGCGAGTGCTGTGAGAAACTCAAGTCCGTTTACGACAGTGCTGCTGTGTGTATTTTGGAACGTGGCGAACCAGCGATCTAGCATTGGTTTGAACAGCGAGTTATTATGAAGACCCACGAGATCTTCGAGCTGCTGGAAAGTCAGGCAAAAATTGAACGAAAGCCGTCGCAGTTTTGTCGACAGGAAGGCAATTTCATCGAGCCCCCTAGCAACAATCAGAGCTCAACGTTAAAATCATTCGAGTTTTTTTGGAACAAACCTCGCAGATGATCGCGCACCAGACTTGAGTGAGCAGCACCAAATGACTCAAAACAGCGGCATCCTGCTCTCGATACTGCACCCGAGAGAACCGGCCTCCCATTATCTAAGTGACGACAATTTACAATACCGTCGAAGGGCCGCGACAGTTGGAATGCGAGCCAATATACGCGGATCAATGACTACAGTAGTTGCTCATTGTTGAGCGCACTTAGACAAATTGGCCAACGTGACTCAATTTTAACCATTTTTCATTTTTTGTATTTTACTGAAACTGGCAAAATTTACATTACATTTGCAGCGCGATGGCTAGGGACGACGACGCGGAGCCTGCGCAGATTCTCGAACACGTGTTCCTTGGCTCTCGGATGCATGCGCGCGACAAGGAGCTGTTGCAGCGTCACCGTATCACCCACATCTTAAATGTACGTGGGTACATGGAGGTTTTGGGATCGGAGCAAGTGGCTAAAATGCCACAAAATGCAGGTAACACCCCCCAAGAAAATGGATCCGGTGGCTGGAGTTCCCAATTTTTTCGAGAAGGACAAGATCTTCACGTACCGACGCTGCCCCATCTTCGATAACAAGGCGGAGGACATTTCCGGGGTGCTGGAAGGCTGCATCGCCTTCATGGATCAAGCCAAATTCTATGGTATCTCATTTGCTTTTGGAGACTTTTGGAGAGGACCCTCGTTTGCTAACGATAGCCAAGTACGGCGTGTGATGTGTATTCTCCCCTCTTTCATCTCTTGTCGGTGAACTGTAGGTCGGATTCTCGTGCACTGCAACAAAGGAGTGAGTCGCTCGTCGTCTATGGTCGTAGCTTACCTCATGAAGCTGCGTTCCATGAGCTTTGAACAGGCGTTGGCTTTTGTAGCTGAACGCCGTTCAATAGCCAATCCCAACGAGAGCTTTCGACGCCAATTGCAGGAATATGAACGTCGCCTCCAGCGCAGTGCACCGAAGGATAAAAGTGCTCGCGTTGCTCGTGGCCCCGCTGGGCCACAACTGCCTCCTGGTGCAGCGAATAAAGGCAATGGCGATAACGAGAAGCGGACAGCCTCTATTGGGCCACAACTGCCGCCACACCTCAAACGAAACATAGAGGCAAGTGACTCGAAGGAGCAAAACTCTGAAGACGGTGATAAGGAGAAAGAGGTCATTGGACCAAGCCTCCCCTCTCGCCTGAAACGTCATCGGGAAGACACTAAAGAAGGTGGAGAATCGACCAAGAAGAAAAAAGTGGAGATTGAGTGAAGTTTTCAGCGAACACAAGACGCATACAAATTATACAGGCGATGATGTATTGCGTAGCTCTTCTTAGTGATGCTGGTTTAGGTGCGTGGCACGCATAATGTAACCTTCTTCTTGGTACGTAAAGTCGTCAAAGTGGTGTCCTTCGCCATTCTTCTTGTTGACAGGAGAGTCCACCGCCGCCATATTCTGGAACATCTCGGGCACATTCGTGATATCGTCCACGCTTGACACGTCCGGAACGAAGGGAGGTTCGATCTCCCTTCGCATCAGTTTATCCCAGTCAATGGCCTCGAAGAACGGGTGCGCCATGATATCCCGACCGCCATTGGGGCCGCCTCCAAGGCGTCGCGCAGGATCGCGATTCAGCAGTTTGGAGATCAGAGAGCGAGCCACAGGCGAAATGTGCGAAGGGTAAATGACCTCCGACTGCATAATGTTCTTGAACATTTGCCGTCGATTGCGGTCCACAAACGGGGTACGTCCCGTGAGCATTTCGAACAGCAGGATACCGTAACTCCACCAATCCACCACTTTCCCGTACGGTTGATGACGCAGCAACTCTGGAGCCATGTACTCTGCTGTACCACAGATTGTCTTCATACCGGTATCTGCCTGAGACGCACGAATCGCGCCTTCGACCAGCTGCCCCTCTTTGGACAGACCGAAGTCAGTTAGGGCGATATTTCCCTTCGGATCCATCAGAATATTCTCCAATTTCAGGTCACGGTAGGCGATCTGCTTACTGTGCAGATGCATCAATGCCGTCAGCAGCTGAGCCATGTACAAACGCGTACGATCCTCCGCGAATCGCTTGGATTTACGTAAGTGGTAGAACATGGAGCCACCCGGATAGTAGTCCATGATCAGATACAGCTTGTCGGCGTTCTGGAAAGCGTATCGCAGCCGCACAACGTACGGGTGGCTAATCTCTTTGAGAATGTGTTGTTCCGCCTTGGTGTTCTCAATCTGGTCGTTCTTGATGATGTGAGACTTGACAAGGATCTTCATGGCATAAATCTGGCCAGAGTTCTTGCCATCCTTTTTGCGAACCAGCAGCACTTTGCCGAAGGCGCCACGTCCGACAACCTTGAGCAGATCAAAGTCGTTAATAGACAGAGGTCGCTTCTCAGCTTCCTCGCGCTTCCGCATCGCCTCCATCCGCTGTGCGTGCTCGTCCAGCTTATCTTGCGAAGGAACCTTCGAGCCTGGCCCCCCAGGACCTCCCATACGAGGCAGTTTATTGTGCAGCATCATTTGGAGATCACAGCAGCCGGAACACACACGCTTTGGCTCACTAAATCCAGGAAGGAACAAGCGATCGGAGCATGACGTGCACACGAGACGCAAGCACATTCGGCAGTATCGACGACGGTGCAACACAAACGTGGTCTTACACAGGTAACAGCAATTCTCTCCATCCCCAGTGCCATTACGTGGACGCTGTTGAGCTTCCAGCGTCGGCATGCGATTGCCGCGAATGAACGAGTCTGAACGCGCAACAAAAGTGTCGTGTACCCACTCGAGAGTCAGCTCCACTTCCCCGTTGCCGTGAGATGACACCACCCTCTCGTCACGTAGAGCAAACCATCGTCGGTCTGCACGGTTTAGCCCCACTTCACTCATAGTCACGACAACTTGACCTAGTGAAGTGTTCATCGGAAAAGATCTGTCCTTCACCACGATAGTCACCTTCGCTTCACTAGACGTGACGGGAAAAGAGAACGTCTGGTTCCATTCGGGATCCATCGTGTGTTTATGACTGCCCACTGTCTCTTTCTTCTGCCCAGCGCATTGCACCACTGCAAACGGATTGTTGTATGGTTGACCCGTGAGTCGGGCACGGTTCACTGTCACAATGAGTTTGTTGGGGAATGTGGCACGGATAGCGTGGAGAGATTCCTCGATTCCACTGGCTATGGACTGCAGGAACACAAACGCTGACGTCTGTACCGAGTGCACCGTCCACTCGCGGTTATTTGCTTCGCCTGAGGTGCGTCCCACTGACAACGACGTGCATCCCAGACGTGCCTTGGACGACCCAATCACTGTAAACATTGGCTCTGTCGAAGCTTCAAAGTTAACAGCTTTGTCACGCAAGATCTCACGCAACGCATTGCTGTCTCCTGATGAGACTTGATGTGCCGACTCAATGAAGGCTATTCCACCGACTCGTTGCTGTTCGTGTCCACTCAACGAGGATAGAAATGTCTTTAACAAGATACCAGCATTTTCGTGTACAATGAAACTGATCTCCTGAGCCGCGTTAGGCACAACGTAGTTCTTCCAGACGTACGACACGTGCACTTCGGGTGTGGATGAGTGCAGGATCTTGGCTCGATGGCCGTTAACCATGCAGAAATTGGTGCTGGGATTCAGAATCACGACGCCGTATCCACCCTGAATCGCTGTCTTCAGATACGGGATCATGGATCCCTGGAAGCCTGTCTTCGGGTGGATCGTACGACTCCACATGCCCGGTTGCATGCCTGTACCAGTATTTAAAGTTAAGTAGGTATTATCTGGTAAAAAAAAAAAAACCTTTTAATCGCACCTTCGCCGGGTTGCATGAAGATGCAAAGTTTCGGACACGCCGCGTAGTTGTGCGAGACGAAGATGCTGCAGCGTGCCTCTGCCTTGGAGTTTGGGATGAAAATCTCGCGTAGATTGAGCTCGTTCTTAAGCTTAGCGTGAATTTGCGCCACGAGCGTCTGCATGAGCTCCTCCACGTCCTCCTCGCTCTTGAGGCTGAAGTTCTTGCCACCTGCGCATACAATTAGCATCACAGTTCTGGCAAGAAAAGGAAGGGAGACGCACCTCCTCTGGAGCTTAAGCGTCGCATGATACTGAGGCGGGAAGAACGAGGAGCCTGCCCCCACAAGCAAATAAGTCGGAAACTGACGACGCCGCTGGAATAAACTCGTCGCGTTGTAGAGACTTCTCACTAAAGTACGATTTGGTGACTTGCTGCGACTTTCCCTTTTGACAAATGCAAGGGTGGCAGTGGCGCCAGTCGCCAGTGGCGAGAGTGTTGTTCCGAGGCCAACGAGTGCATGTCAAGAGGGACGATGTGTTTCATCTGGCTGGCAACAAGGTGGCAATTCGCAAAGGTATTATTCATTTGACACTGATTCGTATTTGACTGACAAAATTGATGCTGGGTACTGTAGATGCGCAAAATGTATTATTTCGTGAGGCAGAGCGACACCTTTTTCGCCGACGCCCATTTGTTCAGCTTCGGTGGATCACAGAGCAACGCCATGTTGGCATTGGCTCAGTTGGCCAACGCCAGACGCGTGCCGTTCACCTACTTCAGTCGGGAGCTGCCGCTCAAGAACGATACGGTGAAAGGGAATCTAGCACTGGCTAGGGCACTCGGTATGCAACACGTGGGGCTCCATCCAGATGCGTACCATGACCTGGTGCGTACTCGCGATTTCGAGGCATTTCTGTACAGTAAGTTGCGTCCTTCATTGGGTACCAGGAGGTTGTATGTGCCACAAGGAGCGGCATTTCCTGAGGCGCAAGACGGCGTCAGATTGCTGGCCCAAGAGATCAACGAGTATGTCCGGACACAGTGTCCCGGCAAACAATTCTCCGTTGTATTGCCTTGTGGAACGGGCACCACAGCACTGTACTTGGCCCAGCATCTGCTCCCAAGTGTTAATTTGTATGCAGTTCCGTGCGTAGGTGATGCTGCGTATCTGCAGCAGCAATTCGAACAGCTTATTGACGAGGATCCGTCCTTGCAGCCGCACACGGCGTTGTTGCCTCGCGTACTAACCCCGAAGAGGAAAAATCGTTTCGGACGCCTGTGGTGGCCGCTGTATGACATGTACCACGAGGTTCTACAGGAAACAAAAGTGGACTTCGATCTTGTTTACGGAGCGTTCGCTTGGCACACGCTGTTCTCAGACGCATCAGTACTAGACAAGGTGCTGGATCGCAACAACACTAGCGTGTCATTTCCCGGAAACCCTTCCAAACAAGACGAGCGTGAGCTGATGTACATTCACACGGGTGGCACATCCGGCAACACCACAATGTTGGCAAGATACGCGCGCAAAAATAGAAAACATGTAGAGTATTGAGTGAATTTTGAAAGGCTCGTCGATTTAGGATCTTTGAAACGACACGGACGCGTCTGGTGGCGCCGTATCGGAACGAGAAAACGCAGTTCAGAGGACCAAAGCTTTCCTGTGGCTAGACAAAAGACGACAATGTCGTTCCGCGAGCTTCGGAACCTGACGGAGATGATGCGATCTCTGGGGTATCCACGCCCCATTTCGATGGAGAATTTCCGTACGCCAAACTTCGAATTAGTGTCCGATCTGCTCTACTGGATGGTGAAGAAGTACGATCCAAGCTCCAGCATCACCGAAGAAATTGACACGGAGGACGACCGAGTCGAGTTCTTAACACAAGTGGCCACTGAAGTGCTGGCAAAAGCTCGTATTCGTCTCAACCCGAAGAAACTGTACGCAGCTGACGGCTTTGCTGTCAAGGAGTTGATCAAGCTTGCTCGTGTGCTGTATGAGGCTTCACGGATCGATCTGGCTGCACAGCAGGAGCCCGACGATGACGACGACGAAGTATCAGTCAAGTCTATGCTAGGATCACGTGTAAAAGACCCCAAGGCGACACGCCAGCTCGCATCGGACATCACGCAGTCGGGAGCCAAGCTCTACGACCTCCTGGATACAGAACTCGATGTCCGCGACGCAAGACAACAAGCTATCCGATTTCTGGATGCCCTCTCCACTAACCATGAAAACTCGAGTGAGCAGAAGTTCCTCGAGCGAAGTATCCAGGATATTTTGGTTAATCTACAAGAGAACGTCGAGCTCACGGAGCGTCAAGTGGTAGAGCTGGATGCTGAGGAGAAAGCTCTGGCAGCGAAGATCAAGAAGGCGCAGACAGATCTAGAGCGTAGTGAGAAACGACTCAAGAGCTTGCAGCATGTTCGCCCTGCGTTTATGGACGAGTACGAGAAGCTGGAGAAGGAGCTGGAACGCCAGTACGCCATCTATTGTGAACGCTTCCGCAACCTCGACTACTTGCAACGAGAACTGGATCTGCACAATAGTCGAGAGATGAAGAAACTGGCAGAGAACGACAGATCGCTCAAGAAGTTGCAGAAGAAATTCCGCGACGACGAGCTGGCCATTTTACGCGGTGAACAAGAGGATCAAATTGAGAACTCGATGCTGGATGCGATGGAGACCACCAACAATAACAGACATAGTGGTGGGAGACCACGGCAAGCGAGCGTCTCTGGCAGCAACCAAAAAGGTCGCGGTGCTGTGAAGAAGAGAGCTGGTTCGGATGAGGACAGCAGCTCGGGAGGAATCAGTGGCAGTGGCAGTGGAAGCAGCGATGACGACGACTCAAGCGACGAAAGTGTCGATGGTGGACGTCGGCCAAGTGCAGGGAACGCCCATGTTGGCGATGGATCGGATTCGGACCAGGTCTCACTTGCAGACTCTGGCGAGCTTATCGACAACGATGACGACTCGGGGTCTGATGCAGGGTCGGGCTCTGGCTCGGGTTCAGGCTCAGGAGCTTCGGGCTCGGAGACGAATTCGGATTCTGATCAAGATTTCTGAGCGAGTAAGTGGCATCCGAGCTTGAACTTGTTCGTGTAAGAGAGCTCTTCGCACTAGCAGGATAATAACAACGTGTATCTATCTGCATCACTTGCTTCATAATTCAGTCTGAAGCTTTATGTGTATAGTTTTCCTTTCTGGGTACTGCTCAGCGAGCAGTGCTCGCACCTATCTGTGATCTTGAGTGGGCCACATGGCACGGTTAGATTGCAATTGTCAGAAAGGTTACTTCCGAGTACATTGGTAATCTATTGTAATAAAACCCGTCATTTATTCAGATTTTATCGAAACTTAACGATAACAAATTTTATCGAAGAGGTATAAACCGGTAAGGTATCGGAATAAGTTTCTGTTTATTTTCTTAAGTACGAGATCTGCGAGCCGCTCATTTTCGAAAAGGGGAGAAAGCGCGAAAAAGAAAACGCAGAGGAGTACCATGCGCGACAACGACGGAGAGAACGGGCCAGCGGATACGGGAGGGATCGTCCAAGAAGGTGGCCCGCCTAGTCCAGCCCGAGCAGGCAAGTGCTGTGCAATGGTTTAATAAACGTTTATATGCTTATGCTGGATGAATTACAGCTCACGATTGTGAGCGCCACTCAAGCGATAGTTCCAATACCGCTAGCGCTCGTGCGGAGCCGGTTATCGAAAGCAAAGCCGCAGTAGACGCGGGTGACGACGTGATTGCGTGCGGATTCAAATTCCTTTCTTCATCTAACCAATTTCATTGTTACGCTATAGATACGTCTCCGAAAGACGATGTGGGTGCTAGCGAAGGACGTGGAGAGCGTGTTCTCTCTGGGGGTATGGGAAGCGACACTACTGTCCCCAGAAACGCACCCGGCGCAACTTGTGTCGGCTGTGCGTCACGTCGATGAAGAGGCTGGCCGTAAAGACCCAATATATCGTACTTGATGCTAACGTTGCTCAAACACTAACGTTGCTTTGATTTTACTGTTGCTTTATTAACGCTATCCTGTATTTGCGCGAATAACACAGCCAAAACAGCGCCAAAATTCGGCGGCGACGCGGGTGGCAATGTCAAGGATGTGTGCGAGGGCGGAAACGGAGACGATTCAACGCTCGGAAATGCCTCGAAAGGCCAAGTTGGCGATGGTGACGAGGGTGCGTGTCAAGATGCGTACGGCAGTATTCTGCATACGCATCTTCTCAAGACTTTTAACTCGCGTAGCCTCTCCGTGGAACTGGCCCGACGAAGTTTTCCACATTGGTGTGACCGGCAATCATCTCCTCGTGCTCCTTCTTCGTGTTGCTGCTGCGCACACGTGGTTGCCTTGGTACAACAAACTAGAGGTGCGGGGGTGGTTCCTCGACGCTACTCTCCTCCCTCTTGCTTTTTTCAATGCAGGTCTCACTCTTCTCCTCATCCTTGCAAGATGATGAAGTGCTCCTGCCGACTTCATGGGGCGAGTACAGACGGAGCTTTTTCGGCGACTGCAAAGCGGGACCGGCGCTCGATGGGCTGCACTCTCGTTTGGTACCAACTGCCACATACAAACGCTAGCAATAGCAACGCTAAACAAGATCACCATTAACTTTAAGCAACATCAGGATACAAAAATCACTACCCTTGACTTGACGTCCAGTGTTTCCGCGCAACTGGTCGCCATTGTTGCCTTGGCCACGCAATCTAGTGTCAACACGAGCGGGGTTGAACACTGTTTCTGATATATTAAAGAAGTATCCGTATATTGTGAATGAGCAAACATTGCGTGTCCGTGTGCGTGCATCAGAGACGTAACCTAGCTGGCGCTACGTGATTCCGGAAGACATGATTAGTATCATTGCAAGCTGCATTGAATAACTACGCGTTTTGTCAAAAAGAGGACCGAAAGACCAGAAGCAAGATGCAGGAGGCGGTGGATCTAACCAGATGCAGACGGTGGCCGATCTAACTTCAGTGGTCAGCTCTTCGGACGATAAGACGCTCGCGGTCTAGGTGACGCCACTGCTGGAACCATTTTCACGGTAACGTCGGAAGTTAGCGTTGCTAGATGGGCATTAACGTTGCATTAGCGACACTATTGTTGTTGAAGCAACGTTATCGTATCAGCTACTAACTATTTTTCCTTTTGTTGTTGCAGTGAATGCGTACACATAATGAAGACCTACTGCAGAATAAAACAACGTTTCAAATGGTGGGAAAGAGGCGAGGCTTGGATAAAAACAGCACTTGACGAAGGTCACAGGACGCTCCATTAAGTTTCTTGCTGACGAACTGGATTCATAGGGCAAGCCAGCAGCTAAAGCAAAGCAGAGGCTAGCGCATCTAGCCTCTGAGGTCAATGCGGTTTTTGATACTGTGTGTCTGCGTACAAAATTCTACCACAAAAACTCTATAAAAGGAATCTACTTCGAGGAAGGGGTAGGGTATGTGGCGGATCGTGCTTGGCTAAACGATGCCGTGTTGATCTATACTTTGGACTTCATGACATGCAACTAGATAGGCGCTCATGCACTGTCGCCGATTGTGGTCGGCAGCGAGAAGTTTCCGTCTCCACCGCGATCAAAGCTCTTCTCGATGAAGTTCATCGCTCTACCCGTCAACATCGTAGGATGCCACTGGACGCTTGTCGTAGTGGTGGTGGTGCACAGACATGGTGCGATGACGGTGTACATGTACGATCCGCGATGTACCGCATCTTACAGATCAGTTATGGAAAATATATGAACGACATATCTACGAGAATGTCATTCTCAGTGGGAATGCCTAGAGACACGCGAAGAAGAACACCCGGTTCCGACACACGTGAGCATTAAATCGTTATTGTTGCTTGCCCAACCGGATGAATACAGCAGCGGTGTCATGGTCTCGACAATGACGTACTCTTTTATCTATAGCGGACGTGGATTCACGGCCGACACTGTAACGAGAGACGTTATTTAAGTGATGTGGCTGAGGTTGATGTGGATTCTCTTATCCAGATCACGCCGTGAACCAGTAGGGGAAGCCGAGAAAGAAGAACTAAACAGATAGGCAGGCAGTTGGCCAGTGCTATCGCTAAAGGAAGTAAGAAAAAAACTGGAACTAAGTAAAATATATTGACTGTTACAAATGTCACTTCAAGCTTCAACTCGTATTTTCTGAAGGTTGTCATCCTAATCTTGGTCCGAATCGTTTGATTAATCAAGAACGCCCTCATGAAACAAGTCAATAACATTGACCGAAGTTTGAGCGGGGCGGGCTTGAACTTGGACAGATTGAGCTTGGGTCGGTGGACGCTGACCACGCTGCGGCTACATCCGACAAGTTCGGCGTCACTAAGCGCTCCTAATGCGTCTTGTAACGTTCCGAGGGGACATCTTGCTTTGTTCGCTGCCAGCCATTGCGTCGAGATCACTCTGCAATAGAATTCGTTTAGGTGCTTTGTGCTCGCATGGTGATCTCTGCAGAGAAGTGCACTATACTATCGACTAAGAAGAATAACGTTATTCTGTAGACGACGTTATATACGAACGACGCTAACATTCAGCAACGTTAAAAGAGCAACGTTATATCGGAGCAACGGTAACTTGATTATAGCGGGCTTACTTGTCTTGCAGGATTAGGCCAGGAGTACTGACAGCGAGGAGACGTATTTGTCGCCCAAAGACGCCTCGTAAACGCCAGGGAGGACAGCTCGCTCGTACGTTCGATTTCTTGGTCCAGCAGAACCTTAAGCTCGCCCTGAACTGCCGCCAGCTTGCGCGTGTACTCCTCCATCTCCACTAACTTCTCCTGAATCGTTGCTATATCTTGGACTCTAGAGCAAGCAAGCAGTTGCGCAAGTCGCGGGGCCGACCGTGGTCTGGTTGCTCCTTCGTCACTCGTGCTGGAGTCAGCGCCTGCGCGGTCCTTCATCGTCGCTAAGTAGATTGTGAGATTTGTAGTCAGAAAAAAATAGGGGGCAGTTTTAAATGCTTGCTATGTCCGGGTAACGATTGTCACTATTTTGGTGAAAATCTTTCTGCTCCTTTTGTTTCATTTAGAACACCGATAAACCAGTAGAAACCAGTTTAACGTCGTTAGCGTTGCGGTCGTGAAGTTGTGATAGGGTTAAATAACGTTGCATTAACCCACTCCACTCAAGGGGTCCAGAAATGATGCATTTTCTCATTTTAGTTTGTAGCAAAACATGTTAAGTAGCATTTCGGATAACTGTTAAAATTAAGCAGGTGGTCACTTTCTCCAGAAACAGAAAAGGCCATGGAGGTCAGCACGCGAGTGGCGCCCGCAACGGCGTCGACTCCTCCCTCGACGCGTGCGGACCCTGCGACGTCATTCGATACCTGGATGCTGCAGAAGCTTCGACTGGAATGGAGCTCGCACGAGTTCGGCGGATTATTGACGCCTTCAAAACTCGCGGAGGCCCGTGCCAGCTTCCCTCACCTGGAGACGCCTATTAAGGTAAGCAAAGTCACTGTACTGCAGACCGATTTAATTATATCCTCACCACTAGATATCATTTTGCGTCTAGGTTCGTCTCCTCCTGTCACTTCTGAGTGTCCGTCGTGATGAAGCGGCTGGCAAGAAGGAGGTGGCCGCACTGCTGCAATTGGCAGATAAGGACGCCGAAGAGTGGGTGAAGGTCACTGGTGGCCTCATCAAGCAATTCCTAGTGCTACAGGGAGATGGTCAGTCCAATGACTCGTATCTACACGCACAACTCGAAGCCACAGCTTCAAAAGTGGTGCAGACGTTGGCTGGTCCTCACAAGCGACGCAGTAACAGCTCGTCACACGCTGCAATGGATGACTTTTTCTCGCTGGAGAACGGCCTATTGAACCCGTCGCTGCGTCCTCAGCTGGCTCCAACTGCAGCCACGCACTTCACAGTGAGTGGAGAGGACGACGACGTCAATGGCAAGGAGAGCGATGTGGGAGTGTCGCCTGTGAAGAAGCCGCTGCATCGCCCCCAGATGGCGCGACCAGAAGCGTCGTCTGCGACTTCTACGGCGTCAACAAGGTTGACACCGGCGGTGAAACCCCCGGTGGGCAAGAAGAAGAACTTGACGGAATTATCGTCCGAGATCCGACGGAAGGCAGACGCTGGACGCTTCAAGCGACAGAGAAGTCGCATCTCTATGATTGATATCAACGAGGTGAAGCAGATCGAGTCGGAGAAAGCTCAGAAGGCGGAGGAACGGAAGAAACAGAAACTGGTGGCGAAGGAAAAGGAGAAGGAAAGGGCCAGGGAGAAAGAGAAGGAGAAGAACGCTGCAGCTGCGGCGGCTAGTAGTGCTGGCGAGATTTCTGGAGCTGTGGATGGCGCAGCTGCCCCAGCTGTCGTCAACGACGAACACGCTGCCATTGCTGCCGATATCTTTGCGATGCACCAACAACCTGGACCGGACGAGTCGATGCAGCAGTTTTCTCAGCAGCAGCTCCAGGTTGAAGACGATACCGAGGCCACTGACATTGGTCAGAACACTGGTGGAGATGAATACGTACCGGATGGAACCCAGGCGTTGTTGAACGCGGCGTTCCACTCCACCCAAGACATCATGAAGGAGGTTGTGAGTCAGCAGAATCAACACATTCAAGAACACCAACAAATCCAACAGCAGCAGCTGCAGCCTCCCACGTACCAGGATCTGTACCGGACTCAGCAGCAAATGCAGATGCACCATTTGGCTCCTCCTCAGCAGCAGTATCACCAGGGGTTCGAACCGGAGGATGCCAGCATCAACAACACAAACACGGCAGGAATGGCCATGGGATTTGGGGGCTACAACTACGGGAGCACTGCAGGATACTATGGCGACCAGTTCGGTAACTACGGCAACGCGTTTGGTACAACAGGATACGGCAATTCTGCTATGGGACAGCAGGACAACAGCATGGGTCTGCCTCCTTTGGGCGGTCGCCAGTTGGGCTTCGACCCCACGCAGCAGCAACAACAGCACCAACAGCAAAACAACGGAGGATACATGGGCGGCTCAGGGGAATACTGGAGATAACTAGGTCGAAGGCCATGTCGGCACGTAAGATTGTGCAAGTTCATATTGTTTAGGTCTGTTGATAAGCAACAAACTATTCATTGCCGTTATGTGTTTCAGCCTTCTCCTCTCTAAAATCGGAGGTAGTAGTGGAAAGCGTGGATATAGGGGAACCCTCCCACGTTACGTACGCAGTCACTTCGCTCGTATCCGTCGGGAATGGCAAAGCTCGACGCGTTCTGCGGTCCAACATGAACGTTTTGCAGGTCGAACGTCTGCAGCATCGTGGGTTGCCCGTTAATGACATTTTCTTCCGTCAGCCGAATCGGAACTGCACAGTGAATAACGACAACAGTTAATTAAATCTAAAGCCTCTTCGTTCGGTCCAAGCCACCTCAGTACCATTCGTAGCAACGTCACTGTACACATGCACACGAACGTTATCGTGTGTGTGCACCCAATGTTCACACACTTTGCCTCTCACACTCTCCGTAGCCTAAGGAGTCCACCGATTTAGTATTACAACCAAGCAAGACTGGCAATAATCAACCCGACATACCACAAATTCCTGAGTAAATGGGATCTCCGGTACTGGCATAGCGTCGCCCAAGTAGGCACGTTCGCACTTTCGGAACTCTCCGCTCTTGACCATGAACTCTTGTTTCTAGCCACAAATATACTCAGCAAATAATATAAAATACTAGTAGCAATAGCGTAGTTATCGTGTTTTCTAGTAACCTGGTCGTAGCGCCGCACAAAGGTTTTGCCTGCGTTGTATCCTTCCAGCATCTCGGCCCTTGCCAGTTGCTGGTCAAAGTCGTACTGGACCTTCATCCTCCCCATGGACGGTGGATACTCCTGACGAGGATCGGTGAGATGTGACAAAACCAACACCTCGGCTTGGAATTGATGAGGTAACTGAGGGGGCGAGCGCACACTGGAGACGCTCTCAAGGAGCAGCAGTAACAGCAGCGACAAGACCTGGAACATGACGAAGATCCACAGTACGAATGTGTCGTTTCGTTGATACGCTTCGAAGTTGATACAAATCTCAAGTGTAAAATCGGTCGCGATAGCATTTGTTGTTATAGATACCCGACAATAAAGCACTTCAACTTAGAACGGTGTGAAGACCTTGATGTCTGTAAATCCAGAGCTGATGCACACGTTGCTTGTGGCGTCGACTTTTCGAAGCCACAGCTTGACGAGTTCGTGTAAAAGTCGATTGTCACCACATATTTCATTCCTGAAGTTGCTCTGAAGCTCTTACGTCAAGCTAGAACGATGGCAGTTCCGTCATTTAATTACGTTGCAACACTCGCTAGTGCTGACTGCGCGCAACCTTTCCCACCGATGTAACTCTCCACTGTCACGTGCCGATTCCAGTCGAATGCAGCAGCAACATGTAGGTGATACGTTTTTGTGTTACTGCACACTGTTCTGGTGTACAATGGTCCAGAGTATTGACAGCCGACGGTCGGCACACAAACATCAACACTGAGCGTGGTTGCCACCCACTGCACCGGAATCGCTGGAGCCATACAGCTCGAAGTCGTTGGATGCTGGATAGTTCTCCCGTATCACACCTTTTCCCAGTTGCGTACTTCTCCACAACCACGTAGGGACTTAAGCCAAATGCAGCGGCAACATCGTTCCAGTTCGGCGCGTCGCCGAAAGCTACCGCCACATCAGCTTTATACGTCGAAAACTACGGCATGCCGTACCACTGTAAGGCAGTGCATGCTGATGTCGCAACGCACCACACAGCAGGCAACATAACCGCCTGCGTCGGCTCCGCATTCGGAAGCGTGCAGTCACCATTTTCCGAGTTGAAGTTCACAATCGATTTCAGCGACTTATTCGTCACACCATTGCCACAAACTTTTCTTGTCGAGGATACCATCTTTACCAGCAGCACACGACTGGCTAAACGCCTGGGCTGAGGACACATCTAGCGTAGTCACCGCCATCCCAGTGCATGTTGCACTAACATACGTCGATATAGTAACCGACTTATCAGCAGCTCTAATTGCAATGTAGCTTGTGGAAGCAGATATCTTGTGGCACCTGCCGTCTGCCCTATACACCGTGACGTTGGCCAGCTTGCTCCCAGCGCAGCTCTTAGCGGCGATATATGACTCCACAATCACATACGGTGCTGCGCCGAACGCCGAAGCCACATCTGTTTGGTACCGAAAGCATACTGCACGCCGTACTGCTGAAAGGTGCAGCAGAACCCATGCAGACCGTGGTCAGTGTGCAAACAGTAGCAGGTACCATCACCTCCAGCATCGGTTCCGCATTCGGAAGCATGCAGCTGTCCGGATTTGTGTTAAATTTCACTGTGCCTTCAACATCAAGGGCGTCACTCCGTTTCCGTTAGATCTTTTTGTCAAGGATGCCATTCGCATCAGCTGGCCAATCGCCTGGGCTGAGGTCACATCCAGCGTAATCGTTGGCACCGCAGAGCAATCAGCACTTGGATGCGTCAATATAGTCACCGACTTGTCAGCAGCTCTACTTGTCATGTAGCTTGCGGACGCGGCTGTCTTGTGGCACTTGCCGTCCGCCTGATACACCGTGATGGACGACAGCATGGTCAAAGCACAGCTCTTGCCTGCGACGTAGGACTCCACGATCACGTGTAGTGATGCGCTGTAAACCGTTTCCAAGTCTGTTTTATACGTAAAAAAATCGCGGCACAGGAGTCCGGTGTAAGGGTCAGCTAATCCCGCGCATACTGTGGTGTCGGGACCACAAGTCGCTGGCGACATCACCTTGAATGTCGGCTTTATGTTGGCAGCTTTGCAGTCCCCGGTAACTAAGTCGAAAATTAGCACCGCTTGTAGCGAAAAGGGTGTCACACCAAACCCGAAAATCTTCTTGTTTGGAATACCATTCACACGATTAGCCCTCCGCTTGGGCGGAAGTCACATCGAGTCTACTGTAGTCGCCACCATTCCTGTGCACGTAATATTTATATAGGCAAGGTACGCCTTCACGACGACGTACGGGATCTCCCCGAAAAGATACGGCAGTGTCGTCTTAATGAAATCGCTATTAGCAGTGCCATCCGTGACCGAGCAGATAGTAGCAGGAAGCAGTGAGCTTCCTGCAGGTGTCTCCATGCAATCAGTATATGGTGCGCAAAAGGAAACTGCTGGGACAGCAGTCACCTTAACTGGCGTGCTTCACATGGTGACACAGGAGCTTTGAGCATCGTAAATCACGTTACCTTCCAAATCCACAAACGGCACCGAGCATACAACAGCTAGCAACAGAAGCCCGACATGGAGCTTGAGCAGCCACAACGTGGCCCACATGACCACCGATAGTCGCTTGGTTGACGCTTGGACGATCGAGGAACAATTCTTTACATTTGTCCACAGCAAAATGTCATCCAGATGAAGAGACGTTAAGATCTTGCTGAGGGGCACAGGTCGTTAAGGATCTCAGCACACGTCCGCATAAATGAGCGGTCGACAATCATCGTAAACCTGCCTGTACATTTACCAAAACTCATTCCCTTCGCAGATTTTCAGCACAAATCTTACGTTTTACAATCTATTGCAGCATGTACGTCTGGATGATCTTCATAAGCCCAACGGGATTGTCGATGTGTACCCAGTGTCCAGACTTTTCCAGTAAATGATGATAAACCTGGTTGTCTTGCTGGGCATCGAGACGGTCCAGTAGGTCGGAGGTCCACATATTATTCTTGGAGGCATGAACAAAGTGGATCTCCACGTCCTTGCCCTCAGTTACTGGTGGATTCTCCACGACTGGCCAGAGATCCGACGCCAGGAACGACTGGAAGAGTTGCTCGATGACATCCACATCCATTTTCCACTCGTAGAGCTCTGGATTTTTACTGGTGAGACGAAGATTCGTAGTGAGCCACTGCGCTTCACCGAGCGCAACACCGTGGCCCTGCAAGTCCTTGACAAGCTGAGCCTTGGAACGGATAGGTAATGGGATTTTCTTGACGACCGGTAGGATCGTCTCGATCGAGTTAGTCAGGTCCCGACTCGCGTAGTCCGTCGCACCTACACAATTAGAGCGACGTAAAATTAATTTAGTATTGGAAGGGAATGCGCGTAGCTCAAGTACAAGTACACCACTCGTACCTGTTCCAGGGAGGGAGTCAAGGACCCACACCTGACTGGGTGGGGCGCGGTCGTGTTGCATGCATTGCTGCAAGTACGTCAGCGCCACCTTGCCACCAAATGAGTGTCCCAACACAGCCGTCGGCTCAACTTTCAAATGATCAGCCAGTTTTCTATTGATTTCATGGTCCAAGCACATGATTCAGGAAAACGCCGGGCGAAAAACAGGGATACTGTGGATCGCTGATGGAAACATACAAGACGTCGTTGGCGCATGCCTCCAGGTTGTGTGGCTCTGAGAATGACGGAGAGTCTCCGTGGCCTACATCAAGCAATGCAGCCACCACTCGTTTGGCAACCAGTGTCATTATGACTTAAATCCGCCGACAACTCACCACGCAGGTCCAAGCAGATGAAGCGCCAGTCTGGGTTCGCCTTCGTTAGTCTGCAACAGCACACAAGCCATCAGCAATACTCTCCCTCTCACACACACACCTTGCACAACCCCTCTCTTGTTGCCTACTTCTGGGAGAACGTGCGCCAGTTGAGCTTGTTCCCTGTGTCCCAAAAGCCCGAAAGCCACATGCTGTTGTCAGTCCCCACTCCTCTGTTCCTCAAAATCAAAAGATCAATACCCCTCTTACCAAGAATGCCGTGTATCACCAGCGCCGTCTTGGTTGGCTCCTGTCCGCTGCTCGAGTCCTCAAAGACTCGATACGACAGCGTGCTCTTCTCCCGACGAGCCAAGGCCCTGTGGAACGACACCCAGTCCCCTCGTCAACCAACCATCCTTCCTCTTCTTCGCATAGCCAGCAGCTACACTCAATCGCACCTGCGAGTGGCGACTCCACGACGCACGGTGGAGCCGAAGAGTGCGCCAGGAAGCCTCATACTGCAGACACTTGATGAAGAAGCGATACTAACGCCAACGCTGGATGCTGATTGGTCGTATCGCTTTGGTGCAATCATTAGCGAAATGGATACACTCTGACGAAAGTTGAAGTTGCATGTTGGCAAGGTATCATAATTACTCAGCGCTACTGGTTGTATTGTCGGACTTCTTCCATCTCCAAGGAGGTCTCGGTCCCATAGGAGTAGTCGAGAATCTCGTGACGTGTGTGGACTTCAAGGTGCTCACACTGGCCGACGCCTTGCGGAATGTTGTTGGAACTCGGAGACTAACACGGATGCCGTCCTTCTTGTCGCTCTCGTTGCCTTTGTTGCTCTTACTACTCTTTCTAGTGCTGCTCACCTTACCATTCTTGTTGTTTCTGCTGCCCCTACTAGCCCCCAATCGCAATGGCAATGGAGCTACCTGTGCATCAGATTCTGAGCCGGAAGACGCGGTCTGCTTCTCTCTTATTGTTTTTGACACTTCGCTCGCACCACTGGTAGCCAGATCGTGTAGACGCATCATCTTGGGCACCAGCATGAGTCCGAGGACAAGCATAGTAGCGCTCAAGACGATGAAGGAGAAGAAGAGGAAGAAAACGGTGGCCGAGAGAGTCACAAAGTAGCCCATCGGTAGCAACAAGAGACTTGAGAACAGCACCACACAAGCCGATGCGAAGATCCATAACGACTCTTGGAAATCGGATGAGACCTTACGGATCAATATGGACAAGTACAATCCTCCGAAGAGCATCCCTGCCTTCCAGAAGAACAAAAGCCCCACGAACACTGAGCTACTGGACGCACATCGCACGCGATCGACAGCTAGTCCGCCAATTTCTGCTACCGCTTCAGCCTTCACGATAGCATCCGATGGAGATACAAGCTGCCATGACACTAGAATCACAATGTCCACGACCAAGAACCCTGCGAGCACCTTTATCATGGATCCAGCAGACAGCACAACGCGCTTCATCGCGCTCGATAGAAATACTCGATACACACGCATCGATTTGACAACCAGCGAGCCAAAGATTAGTGTGAAAGCCCACGATATCAGTGCAGGACGCAGTGCACACACAACCCGAGACGGTGCATCACTGTAGATAACAGTAGCGAAGCACATGAGAGCTCCTCCAAGCAGCATCGTCACGAGGAACTGGTACTGTGATCGCTTCACGATAGGTTGTTCGCGTTCATAAACCACGAAGCCTATGCACCCCAGCATAACGCATGCAAGCAAACACGCTAGAAAGAACACCGCTTTGGACGCCGCGGTGTTGTAGGGAATGTATTCGCAGTCGATAAGTACTGGATCAGGCAGAGCTTTTCCGTCGGTACACTCGCTTGAAAACGTGGCATTATTTGCTTCCGGTAACAGCCAGCGGAATGTCACTTCGCGTAGTCCCGAGCCCGTACAATCCGAGACATCGTACGTATAAAAGCTGGTATCACAAATCGGCTGCGTGCCCAATGACGCCCAAATGATCCATGTGTTGGTGTTTTCAGTCAGCCATGAACATGAACGGCTAGTGGTCAACGTGCCAGGTAGTCCAGAGTTCGGTAAATAGTATGGGTCGCATGTATAAGGCAGCGAGATATTATCTGGTCGCGGCGATTTCCAATAGAACTTTGCACGCCGAGGAAAGGATTCTTCCCCATCCGTGTTGGCTTCGCATCCGTCCAGTGAGAAGCTAAAGTGTGTATCGAATTCACAGTCTGGTAGTGGTTCCAGCCATTGACGCCAAATCTGATAGTTCTCGGGTTTGCGAAGCCAGTTACAAGCTGCCGTAAAGTAAGCCTCTGTTTGTGAGAGAACACCAGCGTCACGTACGTCGTTGTATCCACTGAGCAGGGTGTCTTTTCTTGTATAGCTAACATGTTCATGAGACTGGCCATTCCACCATCGCTTGATGCCAGTATCTTAGCGAGATACTTACCAAGCGTTACTCGAGGAAAATCGACTCGAACAGGGTTATCTGTGACTTCACCATAGCCATTCTCGCCAAAGCCACCTGTATGCAAAGCCGTTTGTTCCGGAGTAGCCCAAGGTAAAGCTACCCTCTCAACCTGGCCAGTGCGGCGTTGGAAAAACTCGTCTGGTTGATAACTGTAAAAGGCAACCGGTGTGTTGCTTGCTAGAGCATCTGATACATATTTTGCCGCCCCACTGATTCCAAGGAAGCAAAAGTAAGCAGGAATATCGTTGTTCGATAGAGACGCTTGCAGGTATCCAACATCGTAAGACGCGTCCATCATTATCACTACGAGGCACTCTCCACCTTTGCTTTCGCGTGTTGTACAAGCCTTGGATTTCGAGCATGAGTCTTTGCAGCCTAGTATACCGTCCTCACAGCCAGATTCCTTTGGTGGATAGTGAGCAGCATTGTTGAAGAGAACAGAGGCACGCTGTTCGTGAATTAGAGCTTCTTTATCGCGATAATCCCGCCAGAAGTCAGCACTAAATGCACTGAGTCCAGCCTCGATAAAAGACGTACTTGTGAATAGCCCAGCAAGACCGTCATACCCAACACTCCCAACGAAAGAGGACTCGTTGTAATAGACTGCGAGGGCACGCTGAGTCGCTGCATCCAGCCACACTTCGACGTTGACTTGAGTAGGCGAGCAAATTCCAGTTCCAACGGTAGACATGCGCTGGGTCATATCGGCTGACCCAGAAGCTTGAAAGAATGAAACCTCATACCCCAACTGCGGACACGATCAAGTGAGTAACAAGTGGAGATGGAGGACAATACACGCTCTCACGTACCAATTCCTGCGTCAGGATCGCTACTACTAAGGTTGAAAGCGAATGTGAGCTCCAAGTATCGATCTCCATACCGAGAGTGCCGCTCACTCGTCCAGCCTCAACGATGTTACCGTCTTCATCTACACGTGCCCCGACACCATAAAAGATAGAATCCGAAGGCATGCAATCTGATTGAAACAGTTTGTCGCGAGCTCGCGCTGTGCGTTGGTCGTTGACACGGAAACGCGGCGTGTTGAGAGCCCCGTGAAGGTAAGGGTTCACCAACGTGCCGAAATAATCACGATCTGGTAGCGGAGATCGACAAGTTTTTCGAGATGAAAGCTGCCCAGTCATCGTCCAAACAAGTTCCCAAAAGCTGGTTAGGAGCGACACGAGCTCGTGTTGTCAGTACTTTTGTCTGCATGAATGGAAGAGGTGAGAGGTATACTAGATGGCTACGCAGTGACTTCACGATCGCTCTCACCTGCCAGAAAATTAACACAACCAAGAATTGTGGAGCAAATTGCAGCTTTGATTTGATTCCATGCAAAGCCTCGAGCATTGCGCCAGCCTGATGGGGTAGGCAGACGAACCAAATTGGAGTCGTTCGTTTCACCGTTTGGTACATGGGTGGTGTTGTCCTCTAGGAACAAAAGTTTATCAACAAAATTGAAAAACTAGAGTCATGGGAGTATTTCCTGATCTCTGAATTGGGCGTCACTAATCTCTATCGAACGCCTACTAGTCTACCGTTGCTCCATTAACGTCCTTCGTAATGATATTCTTCTTCAATGTGTCCGTCATTCTCACTGTCGTCACGATCAATGTCACCGTCTTCACTTTCATTTTGTGCATCCTGAGCTTGCAAGTTGAACATGCTGAACATTTGAGTCCTTGGAAACGGTGATATAGTCGGCGACCATGGCACTGCAGCGTCGATCGGCACCTAAGCGAGTGATTGATCCTCGTGACGGGGACGAGTCGGCCGAAGAACTGTGATCGGAGCGATCATCGAAATAGTCATTCTT